GAAGATCTTTCTCTCTCTCCGTCTTGCTCTGCAACTTTGCCTTTCAAATAAATTTTAAAAATACATATATTTTAAAAGATGCCACTGTGGACACCCATACCCAATATCTGATGCTTAGGTTTGAGTCTTGGCTTTAGTTCTGATTCCAGTTTTCTGCTAATGTGCACTCGGAGAGGCAGCAAGTGATGGCGCAGGTACCTGGGTCCCTGCCCCCAACAAGGGAGTCCAGGACGGGGTTCCTGGCTCCCAGCTTCAGCCTGACCCAGTCCTAGATTTTGCAAGCAGGCATTCAGGGGAGTGAACCAGTGGATGGGAGATTCTCCCTCTGCTTCAAATAAATACATTTTTAATTAAAAAACACTTTCCTTAACCTGATAAAGAGCATCTACCAAAAAGAATCAAGGTTAACAATGAAACATTAAAAGTATTCCACTTAAAGTCATGAGCTACAGACTAACTCAGTGCAGTAAGAAAAAGAAGCAAAAGACATTAGTGCTGGAAATGATGGAGAAATTCACTGTGTGCAAGTGTTAGGTGTGCACATCAAACAAATGGAAGCGACTCCGCAGTCTGCCTCTATCCCCTGCCTCTGGCCTCAGCCAGCTTAAGCCTCAAAGGCAATGGAGGCTGATGTCCAGTTTCTTCTTCACAGTTTGTTGCTTCTCAAGTCAGCTCCTGCTGCTTTCACTCCTCCTCCCTCCCAATGGGCTCGCCCGTCCATTTCTCCGCTGGTTGATGAGAAGGGGAAGGAGAATTCAGCGGGACTGACCATGGCTTCCACAAAGGACACGCTGGCTCAGCACTTCAGAGGGAAGAAGTAAAGGACAGTTTGTGTTGCTCACAGTAAAGGGCTAACTTCCCAACACACAGTTCCAGCAGCCAGCAGCGCAATTTTTTTTAAAAAAGACGTATTTATTTATTAGAAATGCAGTTATGGTGGGGGAGTTGTGGGGAGGGAAAGTGAGGGGGAGAAAAAAAGGGAGAGAATCTTCCACTTACTCGTTCATCCTCAAATGTCTGCAACAGCTGCGGCTGGACCTGGCTGAAGCCAGGAGCCTGGAACTCCATCCGGGTCTGGCATGTGGGTGGCAGTGGCCCGCATTTGGGCCATCTTTTGCTGTTTTCCCAGGTGCATTAGCAGGGAGCTGGATTGGAAGTGGAGAAGCTGAGACTTGAACTGGTGCCCATATGGGACACTGGTGTTACAGGCGGTAGCTGAACCCACCGTGCCCAACGCCAGCCCCAGACAAAACTTTCTTGAGTACAAAAGTTCATGGTGGAGAGTTGTGGGCTCTGCTTTTAAATGATAGTTTAAAACATTCTTTCAATTCTCCCAAGAGTATCGGTATGTGAAGAGGCCCACTACATGCCGGACACCACAGCGGTGCCCCTGAGGGACCGAAACAAAGTCCAAGGTGGCCTCAAAGAGTGTATGTACAGCCCCTCGGGGAAGTGAATGAAAGGCAGTGGTCGGAGGCAGGTCCAGCTCCCGGGAGAAAGCGGAGAAGGCGCCGCTGCTCAGAGAACACTGGAGGATGCAAGTCTCGGGGGCTGAACACGGTTTCCCAATTCCACAGCCCTAGAGAAGCTTTTCCTTTCAGATTTTTTAAAATATTTATTTATTTATTTGAAAGTCAGAGTCACACAGAAAGAGGAGAGGCAGAGAGAGGGAGAGACAGGTCTTCCATCTGATGGTTCACTTCCAAAGTGGCCACAATGGCCGGAGCTGAGCTGATCTGAAGCTGGGAGCCAGGAGCTTCTTCCGGGTCTCCCACGTGGGTGCAGGGGTCATCCTCTACTGCTTTCCCAGGCCATAGCAGAGAGCTGGATGGGAAGTAGAGCAGCCGGGTCTCGAACCAGTGCCTATATGGGATGCTGGTGCTTCAGGCCAGAGCGTTAACCCACTGCACAACAGCGCTGGCCCCTCCTTTTAGATCTTCTAACTTCATGCTGATAAATGCTGGAGTGTTTCTTTTTTTTAAACTTTTATTAATCAATATAAATTTCCCAAGTACAAGTTTTGGATTTTAGTGGTTTTTTCCCCCCATAATCTACCTCCCACCTGCAACCATCCCATCTCCCAGTCCATACTAAGTAAAGATTTCAACAGTTTGCACCCACACAGAAACACAAAGTATAAAGTACTGTTTGAGTACTAGTTATACCGTTAATTCACACAGTACAACACATTAAGGACAGAGATCCCACATGGGGAGTAAGTGCACAGTGACTCCTGTTGTTGATTTAACAACTGACACTCTTGTTTATGGGCTGGCTATAGCTCAGCAGTTCCTTCAACATATCAGCTACATGGAGTGTTTCTTTCATTATCTGCTGTCGTCTGGGTGTTTGGTTTGTTTGCCCAAGCTCTCCTGGGCTGTCAGAAATGAAGTACTTGACAGAGATTTCACCGCCTGGGGGTGCTCTATCAATTCCTGGGGCCTGACCAATCCCAGGTGGCCCAGACCAGCCATGAGCTCAGCCTTGTGTCCTGCACCGCATGTCCACAGTGGCCTTGTGGAATGTGCTCCCTCTGCTGGTGACCTCTAAGAACTAAAAACTGGTTTTGAGAAGAGCATTGAATCCCCATGGCCCTGAAACAATTTTCTGGCTAAAGTGGTATTTGGTTTAACAATAAACCAAAGCCCTTATGCCCACACTCAGGTTGGCCATCTCAGGTGAGTCCACCTCTCGTGGGCTCTTGGGAGAGACTGACCTGGTGAAAAGAGAAAATCTGAGTGTTTTCATTGTTGGCTTAGCAACAAACAGAGCAGTAGAGCTTAGGCCATATCCCCAGAAGCCCCTGAGGACGTGCAGTAAGGAATTCAGGCACCCGGACGGAGGAGGGCACTGGAATCAGCAAATAAATGCACCAGGCACTTCAGAGCTTGGCACAATTTTTTAGTGTGTGTACTGGGCAATCCTGGAGACACACTAAAAAACTGGATCACTTATCTGAAACGCATCTCTAACAGGCAACCCTGTGCTTCACTGGGCCACCCTGACAGGGAGGAAGGAGGAGCGAGGATGAGGAGTGATGTCACGGCCAAGAAGGCTCATGGACGAATCCTGCTCAGGTGTGCTAGTGCCGGGAAACTGGCGATGGTGACAATGACCAGCTCTGATGTGCTGCCCAGTGCCACTGCAACAGCGCACAGCAGGCAGCCTATTTTCCGCCAGAACTTCAGTTGATGTTTTAGAAAGATTTATTTTACTTATTTAACAAAGTGACGGAGAGTGGGACAGAGAGATCCTCTATCTGCTGGTTCACTGTCCAAATGGTCAAAGTGGTTGGGGCTGGGCCAGGCTGAAGCCGGGAGCCCAGAGCTCCATCCCATCTCCCACACCGGTTGCAGGGGCCCAAGTCCTTTCCCAGGCCCATTATCAGGGAGCTGGATCAGAAGCAGAGTAGCAGGTCTCAAACTAGCCCTCATGTGGGACACCAGCATTGCAAGCAGTGGCAGCTTAACCCACTGTGCCAAGATGCCAGCCCCTACAGAGCTGATTTCAATCCTGCCAGCCCCTCTTTCCATACAAACTCATGTTTAAAAGGCCTTAGTAGAATATTTCAATGCCGTGTCATCTTCATTTGGATGCCAGCGGTATGGTGTCCAGCATGCAGCTGTGACTTCTCCTCTGCTGGCTGTGGTCAGCCTTCTCCACCCTAGCAGCTGATGACCCAAGGGCGGCTCACTCGGCTTTGCTGACCCTGCCTATTCCCTGGGCTGCAGTCACACCGACTGCCTATTAATGAGCACACGTGTGCTTCAGTAGCCAATGACTGTCTTTCCTAAGGGGCCACTGAGGCAGCCCCAGTGTGACCACCTGGAAAAGTCACAGTGTCTTCTCTTGCACAGAGGGTGTGCTGTGCTAGGGCTGGGCCTTTCTCCTTTCGTATCCACTTCAGGGGCAGGTCTGAGGCTGCCCCACCTGTGCAGACAGCACCCTGACCCCAGCCCCTCTCAGGCAACCTCCCAGTAGAACTGGAGCTGGGCAGCTGCCAGTATCTTCTCAGCCATCCAAGACAACATAGCTTTGCATTTCTGTCTTCTCTCCCTAGGGTTTGTCTACAAAGTGCTCACACTCACACACCATGTGCAGTGGTGCGGCCCTCTCTGTGCACCCTTCCAGGGCAGTGAGAACTGAGTCAGGCCAGGGATGAAGGAGACCAGCGATGCAGGCTAAGCTCCTCCCCTCCACCCTCCACCTGCTTCAAGAGTGACTTTTTAATGTGATGAAAAATGCTGATCCCTGGACAGATCCACTCACAGAGTGTGACCACCTGACCTCACGCTGACCTCAGACTTTGGGCTATCATAGACAATTATTTAAAATACATCAGAGACAAAGATACAGGGTGATCAGTATCAGGCTGCACAGGTGACCCTATGAGAACAATGTCATTCTCCCAATAGCACTTCACAAGGAATACATCAGTCATGAAGATTATAGCCAAGATCACAAACTCCACTTTTTGGTTATCATCACTTAAAAAATGATAGCCCTTGGGGTGGGCACTTGATGCAGTGGTTAAGATGCCATTCCATATTGGAAAATCTGGGTTCCAGTACTCGCTCTGCTTCTGAATTCTAGCTTCCTACTAATGTGCATCCTAGGAGGCAGGGGACAGTTTGGCTCAAGTACTTCATTTCCTAATTCAATATGGGAGATGGACATTGAATTCTCAGCTACTGGCTTGAGCCTAGTCCAGCCCCAGATCTTGGGAACATTTGGAAAGTGAACCAGCAGATGGAAGGGCAGGGAGTGTGGTCTTTGTCAGCATCCAAATGATATCTTCCAAGTTTCTACCTAAGAAAAATTAAGGGACACCTGAGGAAGTTAAAATACTTATTTAACTTAAATAAGTTAAAATACTTATTTAAGCAAGGGGCCAATGCTGTGGCATAGCGAGTAAAGCCACTGCCTGCAATGTCAGCATCCTTATGGGCACCAGTTCAAGTCCTGGATGATCCACTTCCAATCCAGCTCCCTTCTAGTGTGCCTGGGATCAGTGGAAGATGGCCCAAGTGCTTGGGTCCTACACCCATGTGGGAGTCTTGGAAGAAGCTCCTGGCTCCTGACTTCTCATTGGCCCAGCTCCGGCTGTTGCAGCCATTTGGGGAGTGAACGAGTGGTTGGGAGAGATCTATCTGAGTTCTCCCCCCCACACCATGTAATTTTTCCTTTGGAATGAAATAAATCTTTAAAAAGATATTTAAGCAAAATCCCAGGAAAAGAAAACATAATTACATTTAATACACCCTATTCTGAACTCTAACCATGCATTTTAAGCTCATTTCTGCAGGGCTCATCTCCTACTTCTTTTTGTGTTCCTGTTGTTGATTCTTTGCTACCCTCACAGCATATACATATGGGAAGGCCCCTTTAGAGAATCTGTGAGTCAGTGGGGAATGTCACAGTGGGTCTCCTATGACATCACCAGGACTGGGAGGTGATGGTTAACAATCAGTTCCTAGAACGGTTAGCCACTGCCTGTGGGAGCAGGAAACCCATTTTCTTAGCTTCCTAGTGGATACCATTGATAGTACTTGCCTAGATTCTGTGAAAAAGAATAAAATCACTGAATTTCTCCACATTTTTATCAAAATGTCAAGTGAGAAAGATGGTGAATCTGAATTAGAAAAAAATGCCAAGCAATCCCCCACCACGAGAAGAAACCCCAGGAACGCTGAGGATGTTCCAGCGGTCTCAACACTTGAAATCCCAGCCTCCGTACAGGACATCCTCTCTCGGATTGAGCAAGCACAGGCTGTTCGAGCCAGAGAGGTAGGAATGAACCAGAAATATACAGACTGCATCGCTAAAAAAATTATTTCTATTTCAGAGACAGGGTGGGGGGAGAGAAAGAGATCAGTGGTTCATTCTTCAGGTTCCTGTAAGAGCTGGAACTTGGCCAGGCTGAAGCCAGGAGCCAGGAACCCAGTCCAAGTATTCCAGGTAGGTGACAGGTAGGTGAGCCATCCCTTGCTGCCTCCCAGGGTGCATTTGTGCAGGAAGCTGTAATGGGGAGTGGAACCAGGACTCAAACTCAGGCAATCCACAGGGTGCAGGCATCCCAACACCTGTCTTAAGTGCTTAGGCCAGATGCCCACCCTTGCACTTTTAAAAATCTTTCCAGGACCAGTAAGTTCTTTTTCTTTTTTTTTTTTTTTTAAATTTTTCACAGGCAGAGTGGACATTGAGAGAGAGAGACAGAGAGAAAGGTCTTCCTTTTGCCGTTGGTTCACCCTCCAATGGCTGCTGCGGCCGGCGTGCTGCGGCCGGCGCGCTGCAGCCGGCGCATCACGCTGATCCAAAGCCAGGAGCCAGGTGCTTCTCTTGGTCTCCCATGCGGGTGCAGGGCCTAAGCACTTGGGCCATCCTCCACTGCACGCCCGGGCCACAGCAGAGAGCTGGCCTGGAAGAGGGGCAACCGGGACAGAATCCAGCGCCCCGACCAGGACTAGAACCTGGTGTGCTGGCGCCGCAAGGCGGAGGATTAGCCTATTGAGCCATAAGTTCTTTTTAAAGCTCACTGATTTCACAATATTTGACTTTGCGGTAACAGACTTCAAATGATGTCACTTGACTCTGATTCTTTGATTAATAAAGCTCCAACCTGATATCAATCTCTTCTTGTCAGAATTAATCAAGAACTTAAGAAATACAGCACATGTGGTCGAGATAAGGCACAGAGGGTGAAGCTGCTCTTGGGAGGCCAGCATCTTATATGGTGGCTTCCCTTCTTCTGATCCAACTTCCTACTAATGTGCCTGGGAAAGCAACAGAGAATGGCCCAAGTGCTCGGGCCCTGCCACCCATGAAGGGAGCCAGCATGGAGTTCCTGGCTCCTAGCTTCAGCCTGTCCCAGACTTTAAAGAGTCAATCTCTCTCTCTCTCTCTCTCTTTCTCTCTCTCCCCTCAGTCTGAAATTCTGCCTTTCAAACAAATTGATGTCTTTAAAACACCCATCAAACTCTCTGAAATGTGGTCATCCTGCTATACATTCCCATGAGCAATATACAAGAGTTTCAGTTGCTCTACACCTTCATCAACACTTGCTGTGGTCAATCTTTTAACTATCAGCCACTCAAAAGTGACATAATTGTATCCATTTGCACTTTCATAGTAACAAATGGTGCTGAGACGCTTTCCTTGGGGTTATCTGCACTGGGTAAGTCTTTCTGGGTGGTTAAATATTTTGCCCACCTTATTTCAATTTTTTAAAGATTTATTTATTTGAAAGAGTTACAGAGAGAGAGAGAGAGAGAGAGAGAGAGTAGTTCACTCCCCATTTGGCCGCAACAGCTGGAGCTGTGTTGATCCGGAGCCAGGAGCCAGGAACTTCTTCCAGGTCTTCATGTGGGTGCCTGCGCCCAAGGACTTGGGCTATCTTCTATTACTTTCCCAGGCCATAGCAGAGAGCTTCTTTTGTATTGATGACTGTGTTTCTGTGTTTCTGAGTGTAACATATCTTTAAGCATCTTTTGCAGGCTGGACTAGTGGTGACAAATTCTTTCAATTTCTGTTTATTAAGAAAGGTCTTTATTTCACCTTCATTCACAAATGAGAGCTTTGCAGGATATAACATTGTTGGATGGCAGTGTTTTTTCCTCCTAGTACTTGAGCTGTATCACACCATTCTCTCGTAGCCTATAGGGTTTCTGATGAGATGTCTGCTGTGAGTCTAATTGGAGATCCTTTCAAAGTAATCTGGCATTTCTCTTTTGCACATTATAGAATCTTTTATGTTTCACTGTGGTGAGCTTGATTACAATGTGTCATGGTGAGGATCTTTTCTGGTCATGTCCATTGGGAGTTCTGTGGGCTTCCTATACTTGGATGTCTCTTTCAATCTCCAAACCCGGGAAGTTTTCTGCTAGTATCTCACTAAAAAAGGTCTTCCAATCCTTTCTCTCTCTCCATGCCTTCAGGAACTCCTAGAACCTGAATGTTTTTTTTTATTATTTCTTTTTCTTTTTTTTAACTTTTATTTAATAAATTTTGAAAGTACAACTTTTTGATTATAGCGGTTCCCCCCCCATAACAACCCTCCCACCTGCCAACCATCCCATCTCCAACTCTCTCTCCCATCCCACTCTTCATTAAAATTCATTTTCAATTATCTTTATATACAGAAGATCAACTTAGTATATACTACGTAAATATTTCAACAGTTTGCACCCACACAGACACACCAAGTATAAAGTATTGTGTTAAGACTAGTTTTACCATTAATTCGCATAGTAGAACACATTAAGGAAAGAGATCCTACATGGGGAGTAAGTGCACAGTGACTCCTGTTGTTGATTTAGCAATTGACACTCTTATTTATGATGTCAGTAATCACCCAAGGCACTTGTCATGAGCTGCCAAGGGTATGGAAGCCTCTTGAGTTCACAAACTCTGACCTTATTTAGACAAGGCCATAATCAAAGTGGGAGTTCTCTCCTCCCTTCAGAGAAAGGTACCTCCTTCTTTGCTGGCCTGTTCTTTCCGCTGGGATCTCACTCACAGAGATCTTCCATTTAGGTCATTTTTTTCTTTTGCCACAGTATCTTGGCTTTCCATGCCTGAAATACTCTCATGGGCTTTTTAGCCAGATCCAAATGCCTTAAGGGCTGATTCTAAGGCTAGAGTGCTGTTTAGGGCATCTGCCATTCTATGAGTCTGCTGTGTATCCCGCTTCCCATGTTAGATCATTCTCTCCTTTTTAATTCTATCAGCTATTATTAGCAGACACTGGTCTTGTGTATGTGATCCCTTTGACACTTAATCCTATCTTTATGATCAATTATAAACAGAAACTGATCACTTTAACTAGTAAGATGGCATTGGTACATGCCAACTTAATGGAATTGAATTGGAATCCCATGGCATGTTTCTAGTTCTACCATTAGGGGTAAGTCCAACTGAGCATGTGCCAAACTGTACATCTCCTCCCTTTCTTATTCCCACTCTTATTTTTAACAGGGATCAATTTTCAGTTAAATTTAAACACCTAAGAATAATTGTGTGTTAATTAAAGAGTTCAACCAATGTTATTAAGTAGAACAAAAAATACTAAAAAGAATAAAGTATAAAGTTGTTCCTCAACAGTCAGGACAAGGGCTGAATAAGTCATTGTTTCTCATAGTGTTCATTTCACTTCAACAGGTTGCCTTTTAGGTGCTCAGTTAGTTGTCACCAATCACAGAGAACATATATTTGTCCCTTGGGGACTGGCTTATTTCACTCAGCATGATGTTTTCCAGATTCCTCCATTTTGTTGCAAATGACCGGATTTCATTGTTTTTGGCTGCTGTATAGTATTCTATAGAGTACATATTCCATAATTTCTTTATCCAGTGTTCTGTTGATGGGCATTTAGTTTGATTCCACGTCTTAGCTATTGTGAATTGAGCTGCAATAAACATTGAGTTGCAGACAGCTCTTTCATTTGCCAATTTAAATTCCTTTGGGTAAATTCCAAGAATTGGGATGGCTGGGTTGTATGGCAGGGTTATATTCAGTTTTCTGAGGAATCTCCAAACTGTCTTCCATAGTGGCTTTACCAGTTTGCATTCCCACCAACAGTGGGTTAGTGTCCCTTTTTCCCCACATCTTCACCAGCATCTGTTATTGGTAGATTTCTGTATGTAAGCCATTCTAACCAGGGTGAGGTGAAACCTCATTGTGGTTTTGATTTGCATTTCCCTGATGCCTAGTGATCCTGAACATTTTTTCATGTGCCTGTTGGCCATTTGGATTTCCTCTTTTGAAAAATGCCTATTGAGGTCCTTGGCCCATCTCTTAAGTGGATTTTTTGTTTTGTTGTTGTGGAGTTTCTTGATCTCTTTCTAGATTCTGGTTATTAATCCTTTATCGGTTGCATAGTTTGCAAATATTTTTTCCCATTCTGTTGGTTGCCTCTTCACTTTCCTGTTTCTTTTGCAGTACAGAAACTTCTCAATTTGATGCAATCTCATTTGTTAATTTTGGCTTTGACTGCCTGTGCTTCTGGGTCTTTTCCAAGAAGTCTTTGCCTGTGCCTGTATCTTGCAGGGTTTCTCCAATGTTCTCTAATAATTTGATGGTGTCAGGTCATAGATTTAGATCTTTAATCCATGTTGAGTGGATTTTTGTGTAAGGTGTAAGGTAGGGGTCTTGCTTCATGCTTCTGCATGTGGAAATCCAGTTTTCCCAGCACCATTTGTTGAACAGACTGTCCTTGCTCCAGGAATTGGTTTTAGATCCTTGATCAAATGTAAGTTGGCTATAGATGTTTGGATTGATTTCTGGTGTTTCTATTCTGTTCATTGGTCTATCCATCTGTTTTTGTACTGATACCTTGCTGTTTTGATTATAACTGCTACTTGGGCAAATTTAAACACCTTATCTACTATAGTTTTTGTATTGTGAGACTTACATAGAACACCTTATAGTAAAACTGGCTATACTAAGGTAATAACAACTGAACTTTAACCACATTAGAAAAAAAAAACTCTACATTTTTATTTTCACTTCTACATTGTTTTTGAGGTCAATTTACATCTTTGATATTGTATTTCCCTTAACAAATTGTCACAGACATTATTACTTTGAATAGCTTTACTTTTCATCATTAAAGACATAAATGATTTTCACTCCATCATTACACCATTAAACCATTCTGATCTTACTGTGTATGCAGTTTAATAAATGAGTTTTATACTTTCATGTTACTAATCAGTATCCTTTTCTCTCTGCTGAAGAACTACCTTTAGCATTTATTGTAAGGCAAGTCCATGCTGTAGCATGAACTAACTGCTAGGCTAAACCTGACACTGTGGATTTTTGACAATTTGTAAAGAAAGTGGTTGAGGTTAGGGGCTAAGGGTTATGGTTATGGTTCATGTCACAGCTTTTGTTTTCCTGGGAGAGGCTTTAATTTTTAAGGACAGCTTTGCAAGTAAATATTTTGTTGGCAGTGATTTTTCTTCAATAATTGGAACATATCATTCCATTGCACCTTAATCTGTATTATTTCTGTTGCGAAATCCACTGATAGTCTTATCAAATGTCCTTGCATGTTAGATGCTCCTTGTCATTTGCTGTTTTCTGAATTGTCTTTATCATCTTATTTTTCATATTCTTTTTAAAAAAGATTTATTTATTTATTTGAAAGATAGATTTATGGATAGAGAGAAGGGGGGAGGAAGGGAGGGAGGCAGGGAGGGAGGAAGGGAGGGAAAGAGAGATAGAGAGAGAGAGAGTTCTCCCATCTGCTGCTTCACTCTCCAAATGGCCACAAGGCCACAACAACCAGGGATGGGGCAGGCCAAGGGCCTGGAATTCCATCTGGATTGCCAACAGGGGTTGCAGGAGATCCTCCACTGCCTCCCCAGGCACATTAGGAGAAAACTGGATCAGAAGCAGACCAGCTGGGACTCAAACCAACCTGCCACCCCAATATGTGACGTCTGCACTTTAAGTAGTAGCTTAAGCTACTGTAGCATAATGCTAGGCCTTGGTTATGTTTCTGTAAAGCAATTATGTCTACACAATTGGTGGAGCAGTCACTTCTTTGAGACTTCACATCTGTTGTAATTCTGTTGGATACATATCTTCTATGGACAGAAGAGTAAAAGGACACTGTCTGCATCGGTTACAGTGGTCTGGAGCCAGTGAGGGTGCAGATGTGTAGTCTCTGTGCATATTTGCTAAGAAGGTGTTAGAGATTTCAGGGACACTCAGCTCCAACATGGTGGATTTCCAGTCTAGGCAAGAGCTGTTGGAAGGCTACAGTTCTCCCAATGTCTTCTTCACCTACTGCACAGTCATGACTGAAAGAATCCTTCTTGGCATTGGCCTGGCTGTGGAATGACTTGTGTCAGTGCACTGGTGTTTGCTGTGTGGTACATGTGCACAGCTATGTAACAGAGGCCCGAAGCACATACACATGGGGAGGGACTATGGTTCTGGAGCCTGGGGTGATAATGGTACCAGATCCCAGGGTACAGGCACTTCCTCTGCAATGCTGGCAACTCTGTGGAAAGCACAGGTGCTTGTGAAGTAGTTCAGGAACCAGGGATGGGAGCATGGGCATGAACAGAGCCTCAGTGTCTCTGGGGGTCTGGGTGGGGCCTGGCTCTCGATGGTGGTTGTCCCTGTGAACAGACTGTGTGCTTGCACAGAGAGACCTTCCTTCTAGGACCTGGCTTGTGACCTAGCTCACTATGGTGATGGCTCCAGTGTCTGAAGTGCAAGCAAGTGCAGTGAAGCCACAGAGACACAAAGTGTGTAGGCACTCATGGAGCAGCCATGGCTCAGAGACAGGGCACCAGTGGGTTGGTGAGGGGTGATAACTCTGGTCCCAGAGCATCAAACAGACCTGTTTCTTGAGGAAGAGGCATGTCCTGCTCTCTGGTTCTCTAGTCAGAATGGTTATTGGTTACCTCAGTGCCCAAAGATGCCAGTGTTCCTTGTGGAGCAGGCCAGTGGGACATAAAGGTTCCTACAATGTGACAGTTATATCTACCTAGGGCTGGCACTGTGGCATAGTGGGTAAAGCCACCACTTGCAGTGCCAGCGTCCCATATGGGTGCCAGTTTGAGTACCAGCTGCTCCACTTCCAATCCAGCTCTCTGCTATGGCCTGGGAAAGCAGCAGAAGAAGGTCCAAGTGTTTGGGCCCCTGCACCTGTGTGGGAGACCAGGATGAAGCTCCTGGCTCCTGGCTTTGGATTAGTGCAGCTCTGGCTGTTGCGGTCAATTGGGGAGTGAACAAGAGGATGGAAGACCTCTCTCTCTCTCTCTCTCTCTCTCTCTCAGGGTGTGTGTGTGTGTGTGTGTGTGTGTCTGTGTCTGTGTCTTTGTGCATGTAACTCTGACAGTCAAATAAATAATTAAGTCTTAAAAAATAGTAAAATCTACCTTTACTTTTTCTAGCTGACTCCTTCCAATGTTTACAAAGAGAGAGACAGAGACAGAGAGAGACAGACACTATCTTCCATCTGTGATTCATTCCTGCAGTGGCTCCAATGGCCAGACTGGGCTGGTCTGAAGCCAGGAGCCAGGAGCTTCTACTAGGTCTCCCATGTGGGGGGCAGGGCCCCAAGAACTTGGGTCATTTCCCAGGCACATTAGCAGGGCGCTAGATTGGAAGTGGAGCAACTGGAACTCAAACTGTTGCCCATTAGGGCTGCTGGCCTTGCAGGTGGCTGTTTTACCTGCTACACCACAATGCCAGCCCCTGCTACAGATTTTTAAATGGACCTCTGATACGTCCTTGCCCATTCTGGTATGTACATAGTTGTCTATAGTTGTTTTTTGTAGAGGATCAAGGCTGGTTATATTCTACTTCATCATCTTGATGACATCACTGTCAGTGCCTTAAGTTTCATTACTATCATTCCATTTTATAATTTCATCCACTCTGCTATTTGTGGTTGCTATAAATATTATTGCTACAAATGTTTTGTTCATATCTTTTGATGCATGTGTGCATGAACTTTATGACTGGAATCACTGCATCATTACAACTTCCTCCCCACATGCCTTGTCCAGTTTCAAACTCCATGGTTTTTGGTTATTCATGGCCAATGGCAGTCTGAAAATATTAAACAGAAAACTTCAGAAGTAAGTAGCTGCATGTTTTAAATCGCATGCTGTTCTGGTTAAGTGTGATGAAATCTCATATACTACTGTTACATCTCTCCCAGATGTGAATCATCCATTTATCCAGTGTATTCATGCTGGATATGCTACCTACCTATTAGTCACTTAGCAGTAACCTTGGTTACCAGCTAAGCATAGAATTAGGTAGAGCCACCATTTTAGGCATCCACTGGGGGTCTTGGCATGTATCGCCCATGAATAAGGGCAGATTTCTAAGGGTATCAGGTATCATTTGAACTGAATTTTACCAGTTTCCTTACTGTTTAAAAAAGATTTATTTGAAAGGTAGGGTGTCTCATCTATAAATAAATGGTGCTGGAAAAACTGATATAGCTATATATTTATAGATATAGAGATAGAGATGAATGAAATTAGATCCCTACCTCTCATCAAATATCAAAAAACCCCAAACAACTCATGATAGTTCAAAGACCTAAATTGAAGGCCTGAGACTTGGAAGAAAACATAGGGAAAACACTTCAAGACACTGGTGTAGGTGATGACTTCCTGGGTAAGACTTTACCCAAAGCACAGGCAACAAAAGCAAATCTAGACAAAGAGGATCCTATCAAACTCAGGAGATGTTTCCCAGCAAAGGAATCAAACATCAGAGTGAAGAGACAGCCAACAGAGTGGGAAAAATATTTATAAGCTACTTATCTGAAAAAGGATTAGAATCCAGAATACATCAGCAATTCAAAAATACAACAACAAAAAACCAACAGGTCCAGTTACAAAATAGGCAAAGGAGCTCAATAGACAGTACTCAGGCATAATGAATCATATCTTCTTTGTTCATACATGAAGGATATGGTCTTCTGCATTTACTTTTTTTAGACTTAACTTTATGGCTTGGCACTCACTTTATATCACATTAAACCATTTATTTTCATCTTTTTTAAGAGCTAGATACAAGTTGGCTGTGGGGCGATCATTTCCTACCTAAACTAGTAGTGAACACATTTTTTGGAATCTTATAAAAATTTTATAATTTTCATTCCCACATTTGTCTTTAGGCTACCCTAAACTGCTTTTTGTGAAAGTATGGGGCAGAAGTTCAATTTACTATGCTTTTTCTGGATGGATAAGTGCTTGTGTCAACACCACTTGGAGATAAGTTCATTCTTTCCCCACTGATGTGTAAAACTGGTTCTTTCATAAAGCGGCTTTCTGTGTATGTGTGTGGGCCTGTTGGTGGTCTCCATTCTGACTCACTGGTCGATTTGCAGTACTACACAGCCCGATTACCACAAGTGTAGAAAAGGGCCTAATAAAACTCTGATGCCCTCATAGTATCAGAATGGTGACCAATCAAATCTTACAACATCACTATCAAATGTTTTTACCTGGGAAAGTCTTGGAAATTTTTAGCCATTTACTCTTCTATCTGTACAATTTCTGGAACTGGACTGAGAAGTTTAAAATCCATTGTGAAACACATGTTTGAATTTTGCCTGGATCTCTACTGAGCATCTTGATTAATCTGGGGAGCCATGAGATCTCTACAATGCTGTCTTTCAATCTGTGAGATGGTGCAGCTCTCCATTTCTGAGACTTAAATTTCCTTCAATGCAGTTCTACAAGCCCCTCCTTCAAAGCTTTTGTTTACATATTATCTCTTTGTTTTCTTCAGAACATTAAAACACAGATGACTGAAATAATGAGCAACGTGCACCGAATAATGGCTCGCTACAGTCTTGACTTTGACTTGTCCTCTGGACACCGCATCTCTCTTACAGAACACATGAGGAAACAGAGATCCCTGTTTCTGGAGAGAATGGGTACTTACTCTAAGAACGCTGAAAACAGAGAGAAGATACTTGCCTACATTCTGGCCTGGTTAGAGGAATGGAGTAAGTGTCTAGAAGTGTTTCAGAGAAAAATCACAAAGTCAACAACTCTACTGTGGAGCATTAGTCAGATTAAAGAAGAAAACACTAAGGAGGTTTTTCAGAAAATGTCTGTCTCATTTCCCAGTAAGAAGGAAATATAGATTTGCTCACTTAGTGAACATGCTGACTTCCTTGTTTTTCTTCAAGCATGCCAGTAATGCCCCAGCCCAATGTCTTTATGCTTCCTGTTTGCTTGCCTGGAACATTTGTCACTCATTCCTTGCCTAAATTTCACTTTAAAAACAATGTGTTTTCTGACATCCCCATTCCCTGTTACCTCACACTCTGCATTACCAAGCATCTTTACCTCTGTCTACACCATTCGTATCTGCCATACCACACAATTTAATTTTTATTTCCTGTCTGTCTCCTTTCACTAGAATGTAAGCAGTAGGAAGTTAGGGAACTTGTTGTATTCAAGGCTGTATCAGCAAGATTCGCAACAGTACACATCTGAATAGACACTGGTTGAATTAAAGAATGAACAAGCATACAATAATAAGCACAGCATCAGAGAAAGAAGGAGAGAGATAAACAGGGATAGACAGATAGATAGATAGATAGAAAGACAGACGTTTCATTCGTTGATTCATTCTCCAAATGGCCACAATGGCCCAGGATGTTCCAGGCCATAGCTAAGAGCCTGGAACCCCATCCTGTCTCACATACTGGTGGCATGGGCCCAAGAACTTTGTCCATATTCTGCTGCATTTTGAGGCACATTCACAAAAAGAGAGATTGGAAGCAGATCAGCTGAGGCCCAAACCGGCACTCTGATATGTAGAATAAGGAGAATCCTGCAATCCACGCCACAATGCTGGGCCCTTCACCATTTGTTTAAAATATTTCATCTCCTTACAAGAAATTCCATGTAATGGGGGTTAGGAAACACTAGAAAACTGCCCAAACAGGTTGATTTACATTTAGACACCCAATATGAAAGCATCTATTCCTGTTTTAGACACTGATTTCCTTGGAGTTGAAGAACAAAACCAAACAGATACCTTTCAAAAACTTGATTCATAAACTTACTACTCAGCTTCTTCCTCCAAGTCTTTACCTGTTTCATTGAGAAAAGCCTCAGAATAGCACTAAATGCATGATAACCATGACTGTACTCCCGAATACAATTTATTTAGTAGTTACCTGATGTTATAAAGCTATATGGTTATGCTTATCTATTTGTATGCACAAAATAATGCTTTTCTTCTCTCCAAGATGTTATTTTGTCTGAAATAACTGCATTTGATGTTGAGGAACACTACCATTGGATAGTACAAATGGAGATGTTTCCAGAAACACTGAGAGCCATTGAGAACAATGTCAATATACTATGTAGCATCAGCACCACTTTCCTTAACGATAAGAAGACACAGAAGAAAAAAACAGGTAATTGTGTTTTGTGACTTTGCAAATGGAGTTTTCTTTTTTTCTCAAAATGCAGGTTGGTGGAAGTATCATTTATAGACCATAAAACTCAACATGTTAAATGATTCTCAGTACCTTTCAAGACCTCTGAAATCCAATCAGAGGGCCCCAACACAGGCCCATGTTCCACCCACTATTGACAGTGAGAAATTGTATTCCCCCACACTATGACGTTATCTACTTCTCCCTTTAATTCTGTCAGTCTCTGTGTGTTTGGGGGCTTGGCTGTGTGCTGTATGTTTATAATCATTACAGCTTGCTGATATATTGACCCTCACTGTCTCTAGAACCATTGTTGTTGTGCTGATACCTGTTTTGTCAGATAGTATATAATCTTCAGCTCCCACATATTCACAGTGTACCTTTTTTCTATCACTTTACTTCTGCTCTCTGTGTCTTTGAATCCAAGGCGTGTCACCTGTAGTTGGATCTTGTGGGACTTTTTCTTTTCATACATGTCTGACAATCCAGGTGTTCCACATGGGCAGTTGGGACCCAGACACTTCAGTCATTGGTTGTGCAGGGAAAGTTGCTGAGTTTCTCCTTCAGCCATTCAGTATATCTTTTGTCTGTTGATTAATGGCCCTTTTGAAAGAATCAAAGTTTCTCACAGTAAGAAAAGGTAGAAAAGGGGTCAGGAACCCAAAAGAGAAAACTGAACACATCAAGCAGCCAAACTCAGGGGAAAGTTGGATTTGTATTCTATCGAAACCCAAAGTTCAAGTAACAGTGAGTTAATGATGTCACAACTGAGTTCATCTCCTTGCCTCTGGAAGCAACTCTGGGTGATTGCAAGAAAACATGATTCTAAAACCAAAACTTTTAGAGCTACAGTTTTCTCTCTGTTTTTCTTTTTTCAAAGATTTACTCATTTGAAAGGTAGAGTGACAGACAGAAGGAGACACAGAGAGAACGAGATCGTCCATCTACTGGTTCACTTCCCAGTTGGCTGGGCCAGGGTGAAGTCAGAAGCTTGGAACTCCATCTAGTTTATCCCCATGTGGGTGACAGAGGCTGGGAACTCAGGCCATCCCCCACCATCCTCCTAGGCACATTAGCAGGGAGATGGATCAGAAGCAGGGCATCTGGGACTCCAGTGAGTGCTCCAACTTGTGGATTAATCTGGTGTGGCACAAGGCCAGGGTCATAGCTAAAGTTTTCTGACTAATCTTCAATGGACAGTTACCTGTCCATTTGGGCTAAATTCATTAGGCTTAAACATAGAGCACAGCACAAAAGAAGCAATACGATCTCATTGTTTTGTTTTACTTTTTTTGCTTCCAGTATCTAGAGGTGCTCTATGGAAAACATGGAAAGACAGATTTATAAAGCGACCTGCAACAGCCCTTGCACTAAGACCAGATCAAATGATCTCTGATCAATTTACAACCAACACCAAGGTTTTGGAAATTCAACGTATGTTACAAGAACTCATAGGTTCTTCAATGTTTAACAAAATGGAAAACACTGCAATCAAATATATCTCAGCAACTATATTAAATCTTTACAAAGCTTTGAGTGCCGTGTGTGATCAAGTCAATGTTTCTAACATCGTAAGTGACAGCATGTTTTTCGAAAAGTACGAAACAGAAAAAGAACTCTCCAGAAGGATGATCTGTGACCTTAGCGAGCAAAACGAGCTGCTGCAATGAAAACTGCAAGAGAGAGAAGAAACCTATGAACAGCTAATTCAATCCACAGTTCGTGCAGGCCAGCAAGAATATACATCAGTGCCCACATCCAGGACCCATATCAAGGCTGGGGACATAGCAGACAGTATGGACAATATTTTAGCCAAGGAACTGGAAAATACGTTATATAAATCTCCAACAAAAAATATCAAATCCTCCGAGATAAAGTGGGGCTCTTCACTTAAAGCCCCAGCTGTACTGACCCCAGACTTGCCGGGACAACAATACCATCCACCTGAAGACCATCAGCAAATGGGTCCTGGGCCTTTGAAGGGTACTGCTGACTTGAAAACACTGGAGCCAACGAAACAGCAAAAGGTGGTCTCAGAGGAAAATGAGGCGAAGCTGAGCCAGGGCCTGAAGAGAGAGAGACAGCTGGAGCTGAACACAAACGCCGCTCCCCCCTTCACCGAGTCCTCACAACCTGGAGCCCCTCCTGTTTACCCACAGCCCCACCCAAAATACAAACCCCTCACTCCTCTGAAAACCCAGGCCCTGATGACCACTCTGACACCCCAGCAGGCAGAGGCCCTGGGGACCACTCTGACATCCCAGCAGGCCCAGGCCCTAATGACCACTCTGACCACCCAGCAGGCCCAGGCCCTGGGTACCACTCTGACCACCCAGCAGGCAGAGGCCCTGAGGACCACTCTTACCCCTCAGCAGGCCCAGACTCTGGGGACCACTCTGATCCCCCCAAAAGCCAAGGCTATCAGGCCTCTAACCCCTCAGTTGGCCCAAGATGTGGAGACTATGACTCCTCAGCTGGCCCAGGCCCTGGGGAAAACACTAATCCCTCAGCAGGCCCAGGCCCTGGGGACCACTGTTACCCATCAGAAAGCCCAGGCCCTGGGGACCTCTCTTACTAATCAGCAGGGCATGGGCATGGGGACCACTCTTACCCATCAGCAGGCCCAGGCCGTGGGGACCACTCTGACCCTGCAGCAGGATGAGGGCATGGGGACCACTCTCACCCCCCAGCAGGCACAGGCGGTGGGGACCACTCTCACCCCCCAGCAGGCACAGGTGGTGGGGACCACTCTTACTAATCAGCAGGCCCAGGCTGTGGGGACCACTCTAACCCATCAGCAGGACCAGGGCATGGGGACCACTCTCACCACCCAGCAGGCACAAGCAGGGGGGACCACTCTTACCCATCAGCAGGCCCAGGCTGTGGGGACCACTCTTACTAATCAGCAGGCCCAGGCCCTGGGGACCACTCTGACCCTACAGCAGGCCCAGGCCCGGGGGACCACTCTAACCAATCAGCAGGCCCAGGCCCTGGGGACCTCTCCTACTAATCAGCAGGGCCAGGGCATGGGGACCACTCTCACCCATCTGCAGGCCCAGGCTGTGGGGACCACTCTTACTAATCAGCAGGCCCAGGCCGTGGGGACCACTCTGACCCTGCAGCAGGCCCAGGCCCGGGGGACCACTCTTACTAATCAGCAGGGCATGGGCATGGGGACCACTCTTACCCATCTGCAGGCCCAGGCTGTGGGGACCACTCTGACCCTGCAGCAGGCCCAGGTGCGGGGGACCACTCTGACCCTACAGCAGGCCCAGGTCCTGGGGACCTCTCTTACTAATCAGCAGGGCCAGGGCATGGGGACCACTCTTACTAATCAGCAGAGCCAGGGCATGGGGACTACTCTTACCCATCAGCAGGCCCAGGCCTTGGGGACCACTCTGAGCCCCCAGCAGGCCCACGCCCTGGGGACCACTCTCACCCCACAGCAGGCACAGGCAGTGGGGACCTCTCTGACCCTGCAGCAGGCCCAGGCCATGGGAACCACTCTTACCGATCAGCAGGCCCAGGCCCTGGGGACCTCTCTGACCACCCTGCAAGCCCAGGACCTAGGGATCACTCAGGCCCTGGCCCTGAGGACCACTCTGGCCCCTCACCACACTCAGACTCAGGGGGCCCACCTTACCCCTGACACGGCCCCTCCTACTCCAGGGCAGCCCCTTGAGCTGGAGGCAGTGAGGCCAAAGCAGGACTTTCCTCAAACTGCCTGGCCACCTCCAGCAATGAAGGCCCCACTCACTCCCAGGTGGCCTATTAGATCTGGAACAACATCCACCTCTACAAAGAGCCCAGTTCTCCATGGTCCTCTCTCTCCTGGCCAGTCCTTGGCTCCTGGGCCGCCTTCCTTCCCTGGAGCGCTCTTGGAGTCTGGACCCTCCTCTGCACAGCCTCCGGCACACCAGCCTCCTGTCTCCACTGGGCAGCCCCCCTCTCTCCAGGCCCCTTCTGCCCTTGCACAACATGTGGCACCATCAACCCTTCCTGGAGAAACTTTACCATGGATCGCTCCCGGCTCTGCGCATCCCTCCACATCATGGACCCCCTCAGCTGCTGGAATGCCCCAGAAAGGTGTGGCCTCTTCTGGGAGGAAGAAAGGACTGGTAAGGATTGCTTCACCCATGGAGCCTCAGTCCCATCTCTCCAGCGACAGCACACCAACATCATGCATCACTTACACCGGTGAGGGGACCCTGCACTCTCTGCAGAAGCCTAAAACATCACTGCCTTCTCTCGCTCCTCAACTAACACCAGCATCACAGGTCCCTTTCACTAATGAGGAAATCCTGCACACTCGACAGAGGTCGAGAATGGCCCTGCCTTCTGCCACTCCTCAGATATCCAGGACATCACAGAAACCTCTTTCTCAGTGGGCCTCGAAATCCCAACACCCCTCTCTAGATACACCACGGTTCATGAAGCCAGCTTCAGACATCAACAAAGACAAAATGATGGTGCCCCCTTCCTCTCCCAAAGAGCTTGAAGGGAGGATGTATTTTGTTGACGTGAAGGCTCAGAGGAAGAACCTGATGCTATTGAATCAGGCCTTAACAACTAATGGACTCCCTTCCCCGCTCCACACAACAGCTAGGAATCTCATCATCGAGACCCTTCACACAGACCAGGTTCGGCTAGGATACCTGTTCCACAAGTACACTGCCCACAGGCTGATCCAGCGCTTCAGGTAGACAATTCTCCAATGATCTAGCTGATCTATGCCCAGCTTTTTCCTGAACAGTCTGATATCAAATATCCTCCCTCCTTGCCCTAGAAGTATAGTCATGTTTGTCAGATTGTATATTGTGAGAGAACCTTTCATTGAAGATATGTAGGATGGAAGCCTGTTTAAGACAGCAAAAGGAGACATTTTTAAGTGAATAAGAAATGGGGAATAACAAGATCCATTTCATTCTTTCATATCTCAAGCAGAGATGCTAAGGCATGTTTTGTGAATCATGGTTGATCTCCAAAAGATCAACTTCTAAAGGTCAGAGATGCCGGCTGGTCACTCTGAGTTTCTTTCATCTTCAGTTCACCAGAAGATGTAGGATTTTTATTTCTTTTTTTAAAAATAATGTTTAATTACATTCATTTTTAAAATTCACTTGTGAGACAGAGAGACAGAGAGAATACTTCCAACTCCTGGTTCACTCCCCAAATGCCCACGTGGGGCAGAAGTGGATCAGGACTAAAGCTCAGAGCTAAGAATAAAATCCTAGTCTCCTCAAATTGGCAGAGACCCAACTTGCATCATCACTGCTGCCTCCCAGGGTCTGCAGTAACAGGAACCTGAAATCAGGAAGCAGAGTAGGTATCAAATCCTGACACTTTGATATGGAAATGGGCATCTTAGCCACTAGCTTAATGGGTGACTTACCGGCTAGACCAAATCAACTACCCCAGTTGATGTATGATCTTTAAAAATGGAGATGGACACTGATGGATGGCCTATCAGCTAAGACAACCTGTTAGCATCCTTATGTCCTATATCAGAGTAACTGTGTTGAATCCCTGGATCCGGCTCCCGATCCTGATTCCAGATTCCTACTAATGCAGATCCTGGGAGACAGAGGTGATGGCCAAGTGACTGGGTTCCTGTCAACCACATGGGAGCCCTGGTTGAGTTCCCGGCTCACAGTTTAGCACACCGACCACCGCCTCGGTGTGGCAGGTATTTGAGGGAGTAACCAGCAAATGGGAGTTCCTGCTCTGTCTCCCTTTTTCTGCTTTGAAATAAGCATTTTTAAAAAGAGAAGTTAATTTTTTAACAAGTTGTTCATTTTACCTACTTGAAAGGCAGAGAGACTGAGAGAGAGAATCTCCCACCCACCCAGTGATTTACTCCCCCAAATACCTTCAACAGTTGGGCTGGGCCAAGCTGCAGCCAGGAGCCAGGAACTCAATGCACATTTCCCATGTGGCTGGTAGGAACCCAACTCCTTGAGCCATCACCTCTGCCTCCTAGGGTGTGCATCAGCAGGAAGCTGCACTGGGAGCAGGAAGCAGGTATGGAACCCAAGAACTCCAATTCATGATGGTGAGCTTCCCAAGTGTCACCCAAACCACTGTGTCGAATGTCCACCTCAATGAACAGATGTTTAAAAAGACTAGCATGGGGTATTACACTTTGTGTTCATTGCCAATACAACAGATCAAATGTGGAATCTCATTGTTTTAGTTTGCATTGCTTTGTTGTGGGTGAGGCTAAGTATCTTTCATAGACATCAGATCCATCTGCATTTCATTTCCTGTGAAGATCCTATTCAAATACTTTGCCCATTTTTCAATAGTTACCAAGTTTTCATGAAATGGATTCATGTGTCCTATTCAAATATTTGGAAAAGTAGCCCCTAGCCAGTTTCACCCATTTGTGTTTTTACTCCACTCTTGGTAATTTTGGGTTTGTAGAAAATTCTTATTTTTATTTGCTGGTTTGATTTATTAAGATAGGCCTTCTGCATTCTGAGATTACTAAATGTTTTCCTGGATTTCTTTGGGTGTCTTTAAGGTTGGTTATTAGCTTCATTGCTTGTCTTACAGTTAAGTCAGATCCTTAATTTTCTACAGTAGTAGATGGACTTTGCTGGGGTGTTTTTCACATGGCTACTCAGTTGCCGCCTAGCGTTTTTAAATTATTTATTCATTTGAATGCCACAGCGATGGAGAAAGAGATCTTCCTTCTGATGATTCACTTACCATATGGCCATATCTGACAGGTCTGGGCCAGGCTCTAGCCAGGAGCCAGGACTTTCACTTTCAGGTCTCTCACAGGGTGATAAAGGGCCAAAGTACTCGAGTCATTTTCTACTGCTATACCTGGTTTATTAGCAGGGACCTGAGTCAGAAGGCCAGTAGCTGAAACTCAAACCTGCACTCTGATATGGGACGTGAGCATCACGCGGTCCCTCAACCCACTCTGCCACAAAACTTGCTCCCCATGTTTTTTTTCTAGGAAAATTCCACATTCAACGGGTTTAAAAATACCATTTACCTTTACATTCTCCTTTTTGAGAAGTTGTGAAGTACTTTTTGTTTTCTTAAGTAGCACAGATGTATAACTGAACCAACCAGTAACACAGGACTTGGGGAAAAAGAGAAAGTCAACCCCTAAGCATGTCCTGCTTTCCAGACAACGGTGACCTCTTCAGCTTGATAGGATTAAGATGGCAGTGCCCCTGATGCAGGATCAGTAGGTGCGCCTTTCCTGTTGCAGCTCCTTATAGCTGCAGCCTGATTCTTTTCCATTGTCTCCTCTGGGAGTGCCACCTGATTTCATTACTAGTTTTCAACTGAATCCACTGAAGAATGGGGTGAATTTTTGCCTTTTGCCCAGGAATCTCTTTCTGTGAAAGTCTTATGAGAAGACTTGGCAAGGCAGAGTCAGGCACACTCACAACAATGGCAGAGAAAATACAAAACATCCTTAAACTTGGTCAGTTTCACTCCCAGTATAAACTTCCTGGAATGTGTTGTGAAATCTGTAATATTTTATTAGGGGCTTTTTAACTGGTATTCATGAGTAAGTTTGGCAGATGGTTTACTTCTATGGTTTATCTTTATCAAATTTTGTTATGATTCTAATTTTGTACCATTAAAAGAAGTATGGATGTTCATCTTTTTATACTCTGAAAAAGTTTAATAGGAAAGTTAGCTGATCTTTGAATATTTGGTGGATTTCACCTATGATATTATAGGGACTTGGCACTCTTTTGGAGTTCTTTGACAGCTTTCCAGTGTTTACATAACAGCTTATTTGAAAGATTTATTGATGATGTTGAATACCTCAGCAACAGGAACACTTACTTCAGTAAAATAATTTAAAAATTGAAATATATAAATCAACATTCCAGAATATTTAACTTCATATAACTTTAATCCCATCCAGATAAATTTATCTTATTAGAAATTTATTTAATATTTAATATTTTTAAACAGGAAGTGTTTTTTAAATGTGCTGATGTTCCTTATTTGAACAACAGAATGAAAGGGAGAGACACAGAGAGAGAGAGAGAGAGAAATACCCATCCAATGATTAACTCCCTAATTGTCCCAGATGCCCACAACTGGGCCAGGCTGAACTTGGAAGTCTGGAACTCCAGGTCTCCCATGGGCATGGCAGAGACCCAAGTCCTTGAGCCATTAACTGCTGCCTCTTGGGATGTGCATTATCAGGAAGCTAAATTAGAAGCGGAGGAGCCAGTACTTGAACCAGGCACTCTGCTATGGGACACAAGAACCCCAAGGGATGGCCAGCTAACAGAGAATCTTAAATAGTACACTAAAGATCTTGTAACTCAGTCTGCACAAGACAGAGGGTAACTGAAGAACCTTTCTAGGGCAGTGAAAGCCATTCATGTGGAGGATGGATCTAAGGGGGAGTAAAGCTTCATGCACAGCCATAAGCTAGGAACAGAGGGCATCCACCTAACTCCTGAAGGAATATAAAGGTGGCAGTGAAATTACTACTGCAGGGTTTCCTGTTGTCCTAAAGGACACTCTGCCTTGGTGGAATTTCCACACTGTAACTCCAGTTAACTGTAACTCCAGTTAACTGAGGGAAAGCTGTGGGGTTTGTAATTGAAAGTGGATTCACTGACCTTTTGAAACAGTAAAAATCGATAGGCCAAAGGAAATATGAATTTTGTAGGGGGTGGGTGGGCATTCAGCCTAGCAGTTAAATGTTCACATCCCACCCCACTGTGTCCCTGGGTTCAACAGCTGACTCTGAGTCTGGATCTTGACTCCAACTCCCTGCTAATGTGAACCCTGGGAGGCCCTGGTGATGGCTCAAGTAATTTGGTTCCTGCTCCCCATGTGGGAGACCTGGTTTGACTTCTTGGCTCCCAGCTTTGGCCTGGCCCAGTCCCAGCTATAGAAGGGAGCTCTCTCTGCCTATCTCTGTCTCTCAAATAAGTAAAATTACAAAAAGAAACTTTTGTGGGAGACTCAAACTTGTCTAATCTAGAATTGTTTGAAGAAACATCACATGAACAAGGTTAAACCCCATGAAAATATACTACTCAAATTTGGTTATGGAAATCAGGCAGACTTGGGTTTAAATGTCTAATTTTGAACCTCTCTGAGATGCAAATGTGATGTTTATACTGTGAATGCAATGATATTTGCTTCAACGAATAGTTGAGAGGATTGATGTATAATTTCTAGTACTTGACCTGACTCTAAGTAGATATTCCGTAAACGCAAACCATGGTAAACGTAAAGCAGATAAAAACCATTCCTTACAATGGGGGCAATATGTTATCAATACAAATGGCACTGGCTAAGAGAGTGGAAGCAAAAGGTTACGAGGATGAATAGTCTTGCTTCTGTGCAGGGACTTTTAAATGAGCAGATAATTCCCATGGTTCTCCCTAGGCTGAGTATGAGTAGTTCAGAATGAATTATCTCTAAAGATACATGAAACATAATATACCTAAAATGAAAAGGAACAAAATGTTACCAAGTAGTGAAATACCAAAAGGGAAAAATTATGGGGGGAGAGATCTCAAAAGACCACATTTAGTAAATAGAAAATGATAGAAAACATGTGTTGTGAAAAAAAGGCTTATGGGAAAAAATAAAAGTTAATACACATTAGTATTAAAACATCAATATATACGGCAGGTTTCAAATTATTAATTATATCCACTTAAAAAGAGACCTATAAGCAAAGTTATTATCTCTAGAAAGAAAAGGAAGAAAGAAAGGAAGTGAGGGAGGAAGAAAGAAGAAAAAAAATATTTTTAATTAAAAAATTTGCTTTTAAAATCTTTTTAAAAATATTTCACATACACAGATTTTGGAGCATAGTAATACTTCCCACTCTACCCAGCCTCCTCCTTTCTGTATCATTCCTTCCTTTAATTTTCATAATGATCTACTCTCACTCTACTTCATACTCATAAGATTAGCCCTACACTAAGTAAAACACTCAACAAACAGAAGAAACAAACACTGTACCTCAACAGTAGAGACAAGGGCCATAAATAATCACTTAATCTCAAAATGTCAATTTCACTCATATACATTATAATTTTGGTACTCTAGTAGGTACCACAGTTCAGGGAAAACATATGGTATTTGTCCTTTTAGGACTGGCTTATTTTACTAAGTATAATGGTTTCCAGTTGCACCCATTTTGTTGTTGCAAAACAATGGCTGAGTAGCATTCCATAGAAAGGCGATTTTTCAAACAGAATTTCAGGTAAATTGTATGGATTCACCTGAGTGAATATATCAACACACACACACACACACACACACACACAGAGGTAGGTACTTCATTAAATTCATGGGAAATAGTTATAACATTATTCTGGCACCAAAAATTTTTTGAAGCTCACGCATATGACTCCTAAAAAGTTCATGGAAAACAATGCATATTATGAAAAAAGTAATCATGGATTTCTAAATTTATATATACTGAGGAAAATATTTGAAGGGTCTCTATTACCCACAAAAACATTCCAAACTCTTTAAAATACCTATGAAGATCCTCCTTTACCCAGCCATCCTTGTCTCATTCTCTCACTACATCTTGACACATCTTCTCATACTTCTGTATTCTCCCAGACTACTCACCACCCTCAATGTAACTGTCATTTTCTGCTTGTTGGTAGTATCTTTTATTTTTTATTTTGACAGGCAGAGTGGACAGTGAGAGAGAGAGACAGAGAGAAAGGTCTTCCTTTGCCGTTGGTTCACCCTCCAATGGCCGCCGCGGCCGGCGCGCTGCGGCCGGCGCACTGTGCTGATCCGATGACAGGAGCCAGGAGCCAGGTGCTTTTCCTGGTCTCCCATGGGGTGCAGGGCCCAAGCACCTGGGCCATCCTCCACTGCACGCCCGGGCCACAGCAGAGAGCTGGCCTGGAAGAGGGGCAACCGGGACAGAATCCGGCGCCCCAACCGGGACTAGAACCTGGTGTGCCGGCGCCGCTAGGCAGAGGATTAGCCTAGTGAGCCGCGGCGCCGGCCCGTAGTATTCTTTTTTTAAAAAAATATTTTATTTATTTGAGAGGTAGAGTTACAGATAGTGAGAGGAAAAGATGAGAGAAAGGTCTTCCTTCCATTGGTTCACTCCCCAAATGGCCCCAAAGCTGCCCTGATCTGAAGCCAGGAGCCACGTGCTTCTTCCTGGTCTCCCATGCAGGTACAGGGGCCCAAGCACTTGGGCCATCTTCTACTGCTTGCCCAGGCAACCTGAAACTCTTCATCCTCTTCTTCCCATGCTGGTGGTTAGCATAATGGTTTTCAAATTCTAGTAAAAGAAAATTTACCTAAGGTTTTGTTGAAACTGCAGATTCCAAAAGACTATCAGCAAGATAGTGACTCAAAATGTCTGAGGAAGCACCCTGGAATCTGCACTTCCAACAAGCGCCCTCAATGATGAAGTCCAGGTGCTCAGGGACCACACTTTGGGAAATACCCATTCTACCTCCTGTAGAAATGAGAATGGCAAAACTTGGGAGAGGGTGGTGTATGCCATTTCTTCAAGATTTACTTGGTACATTCCTAAAAATCTTCATCACATGAGCATTTGGCACACTGGTTAAGATGCTCATGTGCTTGGATCCATTCTACACACATAGGAGTCCTAGTTTGAGTTCCTGACAATGGTTTTTGGCATGCCACAGCTCTGGTTGCTACTGGCATTTGAGGAGTCAACCAGTGGATGGAAGTGCTTTCTGCCTTTCAATTAAAATGAAATTTAAAAGATTTTAAAGCTTTTTTATTACTCTTCTATTAATTATGCTTTCTTTTTGCTCACAGAGCATTGTTTTCATTTTGTTTAGCATTTATTCATTGTATCTTTTACACAGCTACTTTGTCAATCCCTATCTCATTTATAAGTGTGTTGGCACTCTGGCCTCAGAATCAGCCCTTAAGGCATTCAGATATGACTAAAAAGCCCATCAGAGTATCTCAGCCATGGAAAGCCAAGACACTGTAGTGAAAAATGAACTAAATGAAAGATCTCTGTGAGTGAGATCCCCGTGGAATGAAGGGGCCATCAAAGAAGGGGGTACCTTTCCCTGAAGGGAGGAGTGAACTCCCACTTTGATTATGGCCTTGTCTAAATAAGGTCAGAGTTTGTGAATTCAAGAGGTTTCCATAGCCTTGGCAGCTCATGACAAAGAGCCTTGAGTGATTACTGATGTCATAAATAAGGGTGTCAATTGTTAAATCAACAAGAGTCACTGTGCACTTGCTCCCCATGTAGAACCCCTGTCCTTAATGTGTTGTACTATGAGAATTAAGGGTAAAACTAGTCTTCACACAGTACTTTATACTTTGTGTGTCTGTGCAGATGCAAACTGCTGCAATCTTTATTTAGTATATATTAAGTTGATATTCTCTATATAAAGATTATTAAAAATGAATCTTGGTGAAGAATGGGATGGGATAGGGAGTAGCAGATGGAATGGTTTGCAAATCAGAGGGTGGTTATGGGGGGAAGAACTGCTATAATCCAAAAGTTGTACTTTCAAAATTTATATTTATTAAATAAAAGTTTACTATTAAAAATATAAGTGTTTTGGAGGAATGGACACTGTCTTTTAATAACTGTATTAAGTACTTGCTACATGTCTTACATATCAGTTTCTTAAAAATGGAGAATTGTGCCCATTGAGACAATTTTTAAAAAATACTTGTATTTAAACATCTTAACATTGAAATGACAAGCAATGCTTTTGAATGCTAAAATACTCTAAATAGTTCATGAAAATTCAGTGGCCATATAGATTATTGGAAGTGTATTCGCATAGAGAAGTAGATTAATGTCTGGTTAAAAAGTAGAAACAAAAGCCCTTGTTCCCATCCCATCCCATTGCTCTCTACATGCAAGAGATGATGTGAGTAATGAGGGAAATGAGGGAAACAAGGAATGATTTGAGGAATGAGAAAACTTAAGCTCTTTAACTAATCAATCTAATCCCCCCCCCCTTTTTTTTTTTCAAGAAACTACATAATCTGTCGAGTGAAAGCCACCCGAAACACTGGGAAAGGTTATGAGATGCAGAAACTCTATGTCATGCTGAGCAAAATTGATGGCTATCAGAAAAGAGTGATGCATGTCTGGACTGAGAAGCAGAAGCTTCTGGAAGAGAAACGGAATCAATGCCTGAGGAAAATGATACCTTTATTTGGCCAGGTAATCTGTTTTCTGTTCCCTGTCTGCAGTGTGTTATGACAGAAATACGAAATCACTACACTTTTTTTAAGATTTACTTTATTTATTTGAAAGACAGTGTTACAGAGAGAGGTAGAGACAGAGAGAGATGTCTTCCATCCACAGTTTCACTCCCCAGATGGCCACAGTGGCCAGTGCTGCACTGATCCAAAGAAAGGAGCCAGGAGCTTCCTCCAGGTCTCCCATGTGGGTGCAGGGTACCAAGGACTTGGGCCATCACCTACTGCTATCCCAGGCCACTGCAGAGAACTGGATCAGAAGAGGAGCAGCTGAGATTAGAACTGGTGCCCATATGGGATGCTGGCACTTCAGGCCAGGGCTTTAACCCACTGAGCAATAGCACCAGCCCCAGTACCATGTTTTGAAAGTTTAACACCAACCTGCACAGACCACAAATGCCACTTTTCCAGGGACACCCTAACAAATTACCAGAAACTTGATGGTACAGTGTGGGGAATGTTCTGCCCATGGGCCAGACAAGGTCCATGAAATCATTTGTTTGGCCCTGGCAAGGCAACCACGGGCAAGACTTGCAATTTAAGGAATTTATAAGAGGCTAATTTTTAAGTTGACAATTTTCTATAGCCATGAATGATGGCATAAATATCCAAATGCGCCCTGGCAGAATACAAAGTCCCCCAAGGAAATCTGCCATGGTTCCAGAGGTCAGAAATGTATGAAATCAAGGTGCTGCAGGCCTGGTTTCTTCTGGGTCCTCTGAGGGAGAACTCTGTCCCAGGCTTCTGTTCTAGACTGCAGTGCCACTGGAAATCCTTGGTATTCCTAAGCTTGCAGCCACTAAACTCCATCTTTGCCTCCATCTTCCAAATGACCACCTCAGCATGTGTGTTCTGGATTCACTTTGGTCTCTTTGGAGGCCACATGCCATCAGACTTAGGACACAGTGACATCTTGGTTAATCCATGGTGATCTTACCTTGAGATCGCCAACCAAATTACATATGTAAAGCCCCCTCTTCCAAGTAAGGACATTTTCAGAGGTTCCGAGTGCATAAGCTTTTGAGATGATTCAACTCACCATGACACCATGACCAGTGACACTGATAGATGGACAACAGGAATACTTGGTAGATCTCTAGAGGAGAATAGGTGCAAGTTTCAGAAACGTTCAGCTCCTTCCTGGTCATCCCACCTCTCCCTGACTCCAGAGGTGAACCCTCTTGAAGTCACTGCTCCCTAATCCTGGGTGGTTGGTTACCTTTCTCATCAAAACTCTCAAACAGCTGGGTTTACTCTCATGATTTGACAAGAAGGGAGACAACCTGCTTCCATAACACTAGGCCAGACAACCCTGTTCAAGCAGCCATACACTCACTATGGCCTAGAGCCCCTTCTAAGAAAACTGCCAATATGTTTTGGGAGTGACAGCAGCCTTCCAAAAGCTGAGATGGGAATTTTCCCCCTGGGATTATGTGTTTGAAAGCTCCTAGCACTAACTGAAGTTCTAAGAATAAACAACACAAGCTGCAGTTCTAGGACCATTTTCTCTCTAAATATTATTAACTCTTTGGCACTGTGGTGGACTGGGTTAATCCTCCGCCTGCAGCACCGGCATCCCATTTGGGCACCGGTTCTAGTCCCGGCTGCTTCTCTTCCAATCAAGCTCTCTGCAGTGGCCTGCAAAAGCAAGAAGATGGCCCAAGTCCTTGGGCCCCTGCACCCACATGGGAGACCCAGAAGAAGCTCCTGGCTCCTGGCTTCAGATCGGTACTGCTCTGACCATTGCGGCCATTTGGGGAGTGAACCAATGGACAGAAGACCTTTCTCTCTGTCTCGCCCTCTCACTGTCTGTAACTCTACCTCTCAAATAAATAAATAAAATCTTAAAAAAAGATCATCCCTGACTTTTTGATTTGGAAATATGGCCAATTGTGCATGGAGCCCAGCAAGATGTGACATGAGCCTTCGAACAGGAATCACAGGTCTAGCACATTTCAGATGATGAGTAAGGGTCTGAGTCCAGGAATGTTGGATTCTGACATACTGGTATGAAGGCATTAAGAAGAGACAGTAAAAAGCAAAATGGGTAAGAGGGCAGCTAGGAATGAATACTTTACACTGAATTGGAGTGATCATTAAGAGGACTGGCTCTGTTACCAGGTTATCTGGATTCAAATCACTTTCACCACATGCCAGGTAAGATACCTGGACACCTTAAGATTTCATGCTCTCAACATGGCCAAAACCAGGAGCCATGAAATTGACTCTGGTCTCCCACATAGGTGGCAAGGTCTTGAGAATTTGGGCCATTTTCTGCTGCCTTCCAGGAGCATTAGCAGGAAGCTGGGTTGAAAGGCAGAGATGGACTCAACCTCAAACACTCTGATATGTGATGCAGGATTCCTGAGCAGGTTAATAAGCTGCATCACAGGGGCGGGCGCTGTGGCATAGTGAGTAAAGCTGCTGCCTATTGTGATGGCATTCCATATGGGTGCAAGTTCAAATCCTGGTGCTCCATTTCCGATCCTGCTCTCTACTATGGCCTGGGAAAGCAGCAGAGATGGCCCAAGTCCTTGGTCCCCTGTATCCACATGGGAGACCAGGAAAAATCTCCTGGTTCCAGGCTTTGGATCAACACAGCTCTAGCTGTTGTGGTCAACTGGGGAGTGAACCAGCGGATGGAAGACCTCTCTCTCTCTAACTCTGCCTCTCCTTCTCTCTCTGTGTAACTCCAACTTTCAAATAAATAAATCTCTAAAAAAAAATAAGCTGCACCATAATACATGCCCCAAAACTGAAGTTTTCCTTAGCTCCTCCATATGTAAGACACAAATAAAAATTCCCAACCCTAAGGTAGTTGTAAATTCCAAATGAGCTGACGTGGGAAGTGCCAGGCTCAGTGTCTGCCATTCAGTGAGTATTCAGTAAATGCTGGCTATCTTAGGTTTGCATAGTGCATCATAATTTATATTCCACATATGCTGCCTTATACAATGTCCACACTCCTGTTATTCCTATTTTAGAAATAAAGATAAACAGGTGTAGATAAATAAGCAACTAACACAAAGTTTCACAATTAGGACCAAGACTGGAGCTTAACTGGGACCCAGGTTTTGAGTTCCCATAGATTCCATCTCTGAAATTGCGCATGTAGGAGGGGAGTTGGAGGAGGAGGAAGACTTGCAAGTGCAGGGTAAAGAAGGAGCTGGAGTTCAGGGTAGGGCCAGTTCAGAAGATCTCCCTAAAGAGTCTGCTCCTTTCTTTTTATGACATCCTCCTTCTGATTTAACTTTTTATAGCTCCAAGAGACATACAAATTGAATCTTAGTCGACCAATTCCTTTGCGCATCCATAAAAAGGAGATACCTTCCTCTAGAGAATTTGTTCAACAGACATTCCAACAACAGACATTCCAACAGCAGACATTCCAACAGCCACCAGCAGAAGAGGATATGCAACCTGTCAAGAATATTAGGTATGTGGTGGAAAGACTGACACGTTCAGATGATGCATAAAACCTAGAGTAGTTTTTCCATCCAAGATCCTCCTCTTCCCCACCACTATGATACGGTGCAGGGGAGAGTCTAAGGCAGTATTAATGCTCTGAACTATTTACCAAAAGGTTGATTTATTGGTCTTGAGTTCCTTTCTAAAAACACAAAGGGGGAATGCATTCTTCCTCATTAAGAAATAAATTACATTAAGAATGTATAATAAAAAAGCTTAGAAGCATTAACTCCCGGAGGAGCTCTGGGAAGGGAGCAGAAAACACCCACGTCTGCTGTACTTCATAATGCTAAGAAGGTATTTTAATATGGATTTCTAGGTGAAGTCATGGAAATTCAGCCTTGTTAACCATTTCAGAAAGTTCTAGTTTTTCATCCACCTGTCTGTCATAGTGGGCATAGCTGATGCTTGTCAGTGCAAGGGGAGGGCAAAACAGGACAAGGCCGTGGTGAAGCACTGAGGGGAGAGTAAGACTCAGACATTTTGAATGTCCATTGGCACAGCCCAACCACGCACTTTCACTTAATGCTTCTCTGACTCTGCAGACACCAAGATGACCAGATGGATGCCATCTGGAAAACTGATATATGCGATTCAAGCTACCCAATAACAGAGAAGACACCAACAAATGTACCCTGGGACCAGCTGGGTGGATATCCAGACATTCCGAGGCTGCTCGAGTTAGACATCCAGTCTACCTTCAGGAAATCTCTCACGTCCATTAAAACACGGTAAGGACTGGGAGCACCCTGGAAAGTAGGTTTTTCATCATCTGGCTTTTGTTTCCCTAACCTTTCTCCTGTGGCACCAGGCAGTTGCCAAAAGTAAGAGTTTGGTGTGTCACAGACATGAGGATTTCATTTCTGAAAAATATAAAACCAACGAACCAACCAGGCATCTCAAGAGTCAGCTTAACCCACCGTACTGCAATGCCAACTCCCAGGGTCAGGCATTTTAGATGCAGAAGTTAAGGGGAAGCAGAATTTCAGATATGTTCCTGTGCCACATCACAGACACATGAAACAGACTGTCAACTGCAGAGTTTCCATGCTGAATCAAATCAGGAAAATCTTACCAAATAGGGTGAGATCAGGGCTCTGAGAATGACTGTCTGCCATTTCTCTTTTCACTCAGCCTGTGTCTCTGTGACTCTTTGGCTCTTGGAATTTTATCATTAAATCTTTGTTGAAAACTCACAGCTGGCACATAGTATGCTACATCAAAATCCTTTGCTTCCCTGTATAGGTCTTAGCTAGGGCTTTGCATTATTGAAACTAAGTATATGATAATCTTAATTTTCAGATGTTTGCATTGACTTGTTAGAACATTTGCCTTCTACTTTAAAAAGCTACTTCAGATACAAATTATAAACTAGAAAGTTGGTTGGTGAGTACAGAATCAGGGCAGATACTAATCATGGGACATCAATATGACTGGGACTTAAGATCACGATTTCGATTTGTCTCTGCTGCAAGGATGTACCTGACATGCACCCTGGCCGTACATGCTGGTTGTGGACAACCCGAGACAACTCCCTGACCCTGTCATGTTCTCCTGCTGACCCGTCTGCCACTCCATGTCCTTTTTTTCTTTCCTTAAATAACTGAAATTATTTTGTTTTGCTAAAATGAAATTTCTTTTTTCAGAATATACACTAGGTATATTTTAACAAACAACTTTCAGGAAAATAAATAAAATATAAGCACGGAAAAAGAAGAAAAACTACAGGCCTTTGGCACAGTAATTAAGAAGCTGCTGGGACTCCCCCATCCCAAATGGTGGTCACTGGGTTTGAGCTGCATCTGGAGTTCCAATTCAGACTCCTGCTAATGCACATCCTGGGAGGCAGCAGGTGCTGATGGCTCAAGTATCTGGGTCCTTGCCACCCATGTGGGAGAACAACATTGAGTTCCCAGCTCCTGATTTAAGCCTGACCCAGCCTTAGGTTGTTGTGGGCACTGGAGTACTAAATCTGTCTGTCTGTCTGTCTGTCTCTCTCTCTCTCTCTCTCTCTCTACCTTTCAAACAGATGAAAGTAAATGTTAAAAGCAAATTTGTCAGGGCCGGTGCCGCGGCTCAATAGGCTAATCCTCCGCCTTGCGGCGCCGGCACACCGGGTTCTAGTCCCGCTCGGGGTGCCGGATTCTGTCCCGGTTGCCCCTCTTCCAGGTCAGCTCTCTGCTGTGGCCAGGGAGTGCAGTGGAGGATGGCCCAAGTGCTTGGGCCCTGCACCCCATGGGAGACCAGGGTAAGTACCTGGCTCCTGCCATCGGATCAGCGCGGTGCGCTGGCAAAAGGAAGACCTTTCTCTCTGTCTCTCTCTCTCACCGTCCACTCTGCCTGTCAAAAAATTAAGAAAAAAAAAAGCAAATTTGTCGGGGCCAGCGCTGTGGCTCACTTGGTTAATCCTCTGCCTGCAGTGCTGGCATTCCATATGGATGCTGGGTTCTAGTCCCGGTTGCTCCTCTTCCAGTCCAGCTCTCAGCTGTGGCCCGGGAGGGCAGTGGAGGATGGCCCAAGTCCTTGGGCCCTGCACCCGCATGGGAGACCAGAAAGAAGCACCTGGCTCCTGGCTTCAGATCGGTGGAGCACCGGCTGTAGCGGTCATTTGGGGGATGAACCAACAGAAGGAAGACCTTTCTCTCTGTCTCTCTCTCTCTCTGTCTATAACTCTACCTTTCAAAAAAAAGAAAAAGTAAATTTGTCACTAAAACATCACTGTATAGTGATATTGTTGTTTTCTCTCCTTCTCAAGCTTTATTTTTAGCCAGCACTATGTCTACCATGTAGTTGACAGTATCTAGCTGACAGTGCAAAACATTAATAATACATTTAAGTATTTCGCATTTCTCTTGAAAATAGTAGCTGTATATACTTACGCAGTACAATATGATTGTTCAATATATGCATATATTGGAGAATGATCAAATCAGGCTTAGTATCACATGTATCCACAGACACATCATTTCTTTGTGGTATAGAAACTTAAAATCTACTCTTTCATGGTAGGCAGTGTGGCACAGCACCTTAAGCTTGGGATTGCCCACATCCTATCAAAAGGTGGGTTTGTGTCCTGGCTATACCATGTCAGATCCAATTTCCCATTGATGTGCCAGGGAAGGTAGTGCATGATGGACCACGTGCATGAGTCCCAGCTGACACCCTTCAGAGGCCCAGATGGAGTTCTGGGCTTCTGGCTTTGTCCTGGCCAATCTTCAGCTATTGCAAGCATTTGGGAAGTGAATCACTGGGTAGAAGATGCTCAATCTCTCCTGATCACTCTACCTTTCAAATGAATGAATAAATATTTGACAAAAATCACAGGCAATTTTGTGACATATGCTACAGAAACTCTGACAATTATGTTGTGTAAGAGAATCCTAGGAATTACTCCTCCTGTCTAAAGAAAACTTTGCATCCTTTGACAAACATGTCCCTTCTTCCTGAGAACTCCCTTGCTTCAGTCTCTGGTAATCATCAATCTGCTCTACTGTTATGAATTCAACTCTCTGGGTTCCATGTATAAGTGAGATCATGTACTATCTGTCTCTATGTTCTTGACTTGTTTTACTTGGCAGAGTGTCTTCTAGATACATTCATGTTGTTGCAAATGACAGAACTTCTTTATTTTTAAAAGCTAAATAGTATGCCATTATGCATGTATTCCACCTATTCTTTACCTGTTCATCTGCTGCTGGACATTAAGTTGTTTTCAGATCTTGAGTACTGTGACAATGTTGCTTGGAAGTACAAACATCTCTCCAATGCACTGATTTCAGTTCGGTTGATATGTACCCAGAAGTGGGATTGCTCAATCCTAGGGTAATTCTACTTTTCATTTTTTGAGGAACCACCATACTAGATTTCAAAATGACTAGACTAACTTATTCCTGCCAACAGTGTGCAAGGGTTTCCTTTTGTCCAAACCATAACTGGTGCTTGTTATCATCTTCTTCATAAGAGCTATTCTAACAGGTGAGAGGTAATAATCTCATTATGGTTTCAATTTGCATTCCCTGATTAAAACTGTTGAGTTTTTTATTTCATGTATCTGTTGGCCATTTGCATGTCTTCTCTTGACAAAAATGTCAAGTTGGGTACTTTTGTCTATTTGGATTATTTATTTTCTTGTTATTGAGTAGTTTAAGTTTCTTACATACTTTGGGTTGTAGTCCCTTCTTTGATGTATGATTTGAAAAATTTTTTTAGACTCTTTGGGTAATTTCCTCACCTTGGCATACAGAAACTTGAGATTTTTATTTATTTGAAATGCACAGTCAGAGAAAGAGAGAGAAGGTGTGAAGGAGGGAGGGGTGAAGGAGGAAGAGAGAGAGAGAGAGAGAAAGAGAATATGAATCTTCCATCTGCTGGTTCACTCCCAAAATGGCCACACTGACCCAGCTTGGCCAAGCTGAAGCCAGGACTTAAGAGCTTCTTCAGGTCTTCTGTGTTGGTGCATAGGTCCAAAGACTTATGTCATTTTCCACTGCTTTCCCAGGCACACTAGTGGGGAGCTGTATCAGAAGTGCAGCAGCCAGGATTGGAACTGGCACCCATTTGGCTTGCAGGTGCTGCAGGCCATGGCTCTAACCCATTGTACCACAGTGCTGGCCCCGGCATGCTGAAACATTTTAATTTGATGTAAACCCATTTACATATTTTTACTTTCAATGACCAGACTTGTGGAGTCATATCTCAGAGATCACCACCTCATCTAATGCCATGGAAGTTTCTGTGTTCTTGTAGTGGTATCACTATTTCAGGTCTTATAAATCTTTCATCCATTTTTAGTGAATTCTTGGATAAGAGAGAGATAAAGTCCCACATGGATCCAATTTCATTCTTCTGCTTACTGATAGCAGCTTTCTCAGCAAAATTTGTTGAATGGACTGTCTTTTCCCAATCATGTATTTTCTTAAAAATTGTTAAAATTTTTATTTTTAATTAAGTTTTTAACAGATTCAATGTGATATGTAGACGCAATTCTAAGAACACAATAATATTCCCTTCCTCCCTATCCCCACTCCTTCCTCTTCCCTTGTTTTTGAGATAACATTTTAAATTTGCATTACAGTAAAAGGGCTTAATACTACACCAAATAAGAAGTTGAGCAAGTAGAAAAGCAAAGAGACCCAATGTTGAGGTTGATTTGCTCTGAGAAGAGGAGCGTGGTGGGGGCAAGAGGCATGGAGTCACCACACAGACCCTGGGAGTCGGGTGAAAGTGGGCCAGAGGCGAGCAGCCCACAGACTCATTTATTTCAGTTGGTACCACAGCTTATATAGCCAAGGCAGCCAATCCGGTCAAGGGGCGGTTTATGCCCTAACCAATCACAGCCTGTTGCCAGGCAGTATCCGAAGCCATCCAATCACAGCCTGTTGCCAGGCAGGCTCCGTTGGCCATGTGGTTTCCAAAGCCATCCAATCACAGCCTGTTGCCAGGCAGACTCCATTGCCAGGTGGGTTTCAAAGCCATTCCTGAGTAACTGACGCTTGCTTACCAGTGGCCATCCTGGCATGGCCTTCTCATTCCACCACCATTCCCCCTTTTCATTTATTTTTGAGCAACGGGAGGCATGATTCTTGACCATACCATTGTTGACCCCGTTTCCATGTGGTCTCCGTACGCGGCTGTGCCTGTCTTAGGTTGTCCCCCAGGGGATCTTACCCGTCATTGACTAACCAGCGCTCAAAACAAGAGACCACAGGAGTTCTTGCTCAGATAGGGGTAGGAATGAGGAACAATGGTAATCCGGAATGGCATGACCGCACACAGGCTGTGGGCCATTTGAGTGGCTGACCAGAGCTAGTGGGGTATAAAACAGTATCGGACTGTGGCTATGGGCAGTTTCTCAAGGTAGGATGTTAGGGCAGGTGCGTCTGCTAACAAGGCAGGCTCTCAGTCTTGTTCAGCTGGTTCTGGTTGGCTGTCAGTCACAGGCTTGATATTTCTGGCTGGTACCCAAATGGGCTGACCTGCATTCTCTGGAAAGACACAAGCATATCCTCAGCCCTTGGTTAGCAGAAGCCTTTTTACAGGTGTTGGAATCCAGGGCCTGAATTTTGTGTTCACTTCTATATTAATGGCAAACATGCAGGTGGGATGAGGTCTAGCGGCTGTCCTGAGAGCCTGGGGTACCTGAGTACTGCCACAAATGTGGGGATCCTCACTGGGTGCGGATGGGATGACCTCCCATCAGTTATTGTCTCAAGGTCCTCTAAGTTCATCCCACGGGTATGTGGGGGGTGGGTGACTAGGCATTGCCACATTGTTTGCTACCTTGTTTGCTACCTTGTCATTTTCACTGTTGGAGCTCTCCTAAGTCATCAACTGTTGTCTGTGAGGTAGACGCCTGGAGTGACAGGCTCTGATCACTCACAACCCTACTTTAGTGGAAATACAAACAACTGCTACAAGCAAAAATTGAATGGGAAAAATGACCACTTCACCCATATACAGTCATCATGTATCTTGATTAAAACCAATTGACCATAGATTGGTGTCTTCTTGGCTTTTTCTCCTACTCCATTGATCAAGTGGAATCTTTTGGGATTTATACACCTTAGTGCTCTCTGAGCGTCATGGATATGGTTTGGTTCCTGATGTCAAGATGGAAAAATTCTCAGTCATTAATGCTTCAAAGTTTCTCTGTTAGTTTTTCTTTCTTCTTCTGGAATTTCCATGACTCATATGTGATACCTTTTGTGACTTTCCAACAGTTCTTGTATATTCTGTTTTTCAGCCTTTTCCAACTTTGCTTTCTGGTTTGGGAAGATTCTATCACCACATTCTCAAGTTCAGGATGTCTTTCCTTAGTTGTGTACAATTTATGAATGAGCCTATCAAAGTCATTCTTCATTTCTGTTAGCGTTTCTGATCTTCAACTTTTTTTTTTTCAATTTTTCTTAGAATTTCCATTTCTCTGCTTACATTTTCTACCTGTTTTGGTATTTAATTACTTTTTACATTTGGCGCTCCATGGCACACTTCTCATGATTCCTTTAAATACTGGTCTGAAAATTCCAACATTCCTATCACACCTGGCTCGCATTCTGAGGCTTGCTCTGTCTCTTAAGCAGTGCTCTGTTTTATTTTTTGCTTGTTAGTATACCTTGCATTTTTCTCCAAATATAGACATAATGTACCAAGTGAAAATGAGCTCACATTGTGTATGTTTTTAAACTTGCTTTTGTTTCACTTAACAGCATATGTTTGAAGTTTTCCTATATTAATGTAGACCTACATTGTCATTCTTTTGATTACATGATAGTCAATCATACAAATGCATGATAACTTATAGTACTGTTCTGCTCTTTCTGATAGAAATTAGGACAACTGTCAACATTATAAGAATATTGCTCCATTTTTCCTTGCAGTGATTGCCATACTGATACAATTATTACCCTATGAAAATGCCATTAAATATTTTAATTACAAAAGCAATGCATCCTTGCTGTAGAACATTGGAAATGAATTCTACCCCCAGAAATAACAACCATTGTTAATTCTGAAGCCATGTTTTAACTTTAGAGATAAGAATATTGTGGAATGGGTCGAGCATGAACAGCGATTAAGATGCCACTTGAGACACTCACATCTCATATTAAAGTGTCTGAGTTTGAGTTCCACCTACAGTTCCGATCCAGCTTCCTGCTAATAAACACCTTAGGAGATAGCAACGGATGGCTCAAGTATTTGAATCCTTGTCACTCAGCTGGATGAGTGACATAATCCCAGATATTGCTGGCATTTGGGGAGTGAACAAGCAGATGGAAGATCTCTCTTCCTCTCACACTCTCGCTCTCTCACTCTCTTCCTCTCTCTCTCTTGCTCTCGCTCTCTCACTCTCCCCCCCCCAACCTCCCTCTACTCTTTCAAATGAATTTTAAAAAATACTACCTGGTAAGCAATTAGCTTTTGTCACACAGTGCTCTTTTTTTTTTTTGTCCTGGAAGACATTCTGTCCTTTAATATGACTTTCATGAATATGGATTACAAACTGACTTTACTAAGCTTGCCTTGTGAGTTCTGAAGGCTCTCTTAGGTTCCTATGATTTACCTATATCCCACAAATGTGTTTCTGAGCAATTTGTAATAATATTTTCTTGTTTCACTCCCAGGATTAAGAAGACACCTAAGTGACTATAAAAATTCAATACAAGCATGTTCAAAACAAATTTCACTGTTTCAATAAAATGCCCAGTTTGTTTTTCATGCATGGCTTGATCTGTCTTTTGCATTTATGTCCTGCTACATTTTCTTAGAATGAACATTTTAATTTCCAGACAACTACTATGATTACTTAAAGAGAATATCTTCTGCTCTAGTTCACTGGAAGCAAAGTTTAAGCAAACCCTGGTGAGGGCTGAGTCAGAAAAGGGATATATCAGGGGCCAGTGCTGTGGCGTAGTGGGTAAATCCATTGCCTGCAGTACCGGCAATCCATATGGGCGTGGGTGCGGGTCTTGGCTGCTCTACTTCCAGTCCTGCTCTCTGCTATGGCCTGGGAAAGCAGTAGAAGGTGGCCCAAGTCCTTGGGCCCCTCTACCCATGTGGGAGACTGGGAAGAAGTGCCTGGCTCGTGGCCTCGGATCAGCCCAACTCAGGCCATTACAGCCAACTGGGGAGCAAACTAGCAGATGGAAGACTCTCTCTCTCCCTCTCCCTCTCTCCCTCCTTCCCTCTCTCCCTCTCCTTCTCTCTGTGTGTAACGTAGAGACTTTCAAAGGAATGAATAAATCTTAAAAAAAGGGGGTGGGACATGTCAGAGCCCCTGAAATGAAAGCAAAGTGGCACAGTCTTACTTCCAAAAATCCAAACCCAAAGATGCAACAGAAGTGATGAATGGATGTAAGAAGGAAAACAAGGGGCCCTTGATGTGATATAGTCAGTAAAGTGCCACCGCCAATGCTAGCATCCCAAATGGGTGCCAATTCTAGTCCCAGGTGCTCCACTTCAGATCCTGGACCCTGCTAATGTACCTGCGAAAGCAGCAGAGGATGGCCCAAATCCTTAGGCTCCTGCACCCACATGGGAGATCAAGAAGAAGCTCCTGGCTCCTGACTTCAGACTTGCCCAGCTCCGGCCATCTGAGCCATCTGGGGAGTGAAGCAGCAGATGAAGAGTGCTCTCGCTTTCTGTCTCTTCCTCTGACTCTCTCTCTCTCTCTAACTCTGCTTTCAAACAAGTAAAGAAATCTTTAGACAAATAGCAGAAGAAACCCCTAGAGAATCAGAAAGTGGTTATGACTTGGTAGAGAAGGGAGAAAAGATTTTATATATAAAATAACTAGACAACCACAAAGGGAATAAATTAAGATATCTTCCTAGATGACAAGACTAGCAAAACTCAAGCCATAGAAGGAAGTGATGAATCATGTACAATTGTAAAAAACAAAGTAGTAGGATTATTATGTATTCAAACCCTACTTATAAATTAGATGAGATACACAGGAAAATGGACATAGACCAGTATTAGGTCAAGGTACTTTACAAAGGCATTTAGAAGAAAGAATAGATGAAAAATACAAAAGAAATACAGGAGACACAGAAATGACAACCTTCTTATAATAGGAATCCTAACAAGAGAGAAAAATAGAGGAGGAGCAGCCATTGTCACAGCCATTAACTGCTGCTTGGGATGCCTGCATCCCACATCAGAGTGCCTTGTTCAAGTCCCAGCTACTCTTACTCCAATAGAGCTTCCTGCTAATGCACACCCTGGGAGGCAGCAGGTAATGATTAAAGTACTTGGGAGCTCGCCATCCAAAGGGAGACCTGGATTGTGCTACCACTTCCTGGATTTGACCTGGAAAATGGGAGATTGATTCATCTACCTTTCTTTTTTCTTTTCTTTTCTTTTCTTTTTCTTCCTTCCCCCAACTCCCTCCTTCCCCTCTTTCTTTCTTTCTCTCTCTCTCTCTCTCTCTCTCTCTCTCTCTCTCTCTCTCTTTCTTTCCCTTGCTCTGTCCCTCCCTTTCAATTTTTAAAATTGGAGCCATGATTATGGTGTAGTGGGTTAAACCACTGCTTGTCCCTCTGGCATCCCATATCAGAGCAATGGTTCAAGTCCTGGTTACTCTACTTTGGATCTAGCTTCTTGCTAATGCACCCTGGAAGGCAGGTTATGGTGGCCCAAATACTTGGTTCCCTGCCACCCTTTGTAGGAGATCAGGATGGAGTTCATGGCTCCTGGCCTCAGTCTGGCCCAAAACCAGCTTGTGTCCATTTTGGGAGTGAACCATTGGGTGGAACAGCTCCTTCTCTCTCTCTCTCTCTCTCCCTCCCTCCCTCCCTCCCTTTGCTTTTAACATATATTAATCTTTATAAAAATTATTTTAACAAATGCATTGGAGGCACCAGTGCTGTGGATCAGCGGCTTATGCCATATGAGCGCTGGTTCATGTCTGGGCTGCTCCTCTTACAACCCAGCTCTAGCTATGGCCTTGGAAAGCAGCAGAAGATGGCCCAAGTGCTTGCGCTCCTAAACCCATGTGCGAGACCTAGAAGAAGCCCCTGGCTCCTTGCTCTAGAACAGCCCCGCTATAGCCATTGCAGCTATTTGGGGGGGTGAACCAGCAGATGGAAGACCTTTCTCTCTGTCTCTCCTTTTCTCTATCTGTAACTCTACCTCTCAAATCAATAAATAAAATCTTTAAAACAAGTATTGAAGGGAAAGAAAATGAAATATGAAAAAACACGTAAGATCTTCCAAAGAAAGGTAAATCCTGAAATGACTATGGAGTGACAAATAGGGTTGAGAGGGAAATATGAATACTCAGAGATACTTCAATGGAACTGAAGATGAATTCTTGATCATGTTGACTAAGCAAAGAAAAAAAAGCTGACTTTCAAAGAGCAGCTCACCCATAAAGAATGAGGTTCAGAATGCTATCAGGATTTTCAAGAGAACCATCAGAAGCAGGAAAACAATTCTGTAGCCTTTTCAAAACACTGAAAAAAATTTTAACTCTAAAATTCTATGTTCAATGAAGCTAGCATTTACCTGTTAGGACACAATAACTGTATTCCCAGACCTCCAAGTCTGAGTAGACTATCATAAAGACCCTCTTAGAAAATACTCTTGGAGTACTAATTTATTAAACAGAAACAGTTAAGAAATACTATGAAATATAAGAGTAAGAATGATGGGGCTGACGAATGGCACAGTTGGTTAAAGGCCCAGCCTGAAGTGCCAGCATCCCACATGGGCTCCGGTTTCTAGGTCCAACTGCTCCTCTTCCAATCCAGCTCTCTGCTATGGCCTGGGAAAGCAGTAGAAGATGGCCCAAGTCCTTGAGCCCCTGCAGCCACATGGGACTCAGAAGAAGATGCATGTCTTTCAAAGCCATAGGGAAAAAAATGATCTGTTTGAAGAAATAAACAAAGTAAAAAATACCAACTAAAGTGGAATACAAAGCTCTAACATGAAAGTGACTCATTCATAGAAAAATAATTCCCACACTGTATTAAAACATACGACCTAGCAATACACAGTCTAGAAGAGACAAGTTTCAAAAAAGGGTAGGACAAATAAAAAAGGAATGGGGCCAGCGCCGCGGCTCAATAGGCTAATCCTCCACCTAGCTGCGCCGGCACACCAGGTTCTAGTCTCGGTTGGGGCGCCAGATTCTGTCCTGGTTGCCCCCCTTCCAGGCCAGCTCTCTGCTGTGGCCCGGGAGTGCAGTGGAGGATAGCCCAAGTGCTAGGGCCCTGCACCCCCTGGGAGACCAGGATAAGTACCTGGCTCCTGCCTTTGGATCAGCACGGTATGCCGGCCGCAACGCACCAGCCACGGCGGCCATTGGAGGATGAACCAACGGCAAAAGGAAGACCTTTCTCTCTGTCTCTCTCTCTCACTGTCCACTCTGCCTGTCGAAAGAAAGAAAGGAAGGAAGGAAGGAAGGAAGGAAGGAAGGAAGGAAGGAAGGAAGGAAGGAAGGAAGGAAGAAAAGGAATGGAACAATGTAAATATGAACCAAGAAAAAAAAAGCCAGGAGGACGACCATCATCAGACAAAAATAGATTTGAAGGTAAAATCATCATGAGGGACAATTGGGAACTGTGGATAAAAAATGTGTAGTGATCATTAATACAGACGTTTATAACAATATGACCTCACAACATATAGAGCAGCAACTGACCTCTGGCCCTCACTTGATAACACTGCCTCACCTGCAGCTCTCTCAGATACACCTGTTAACTTCCATATCCTCCTTATCTCTTGGCTATAAATGACAGAGGGGAGTCCTCACTCCTCAACACTACTCCCAGACCATTCCCCTCTTCTCCCCCAAAATAGTCTATTTTAACTCACCTACTACAGACTGTCTACCACTTATCACCCTAGATGTTACAGCAATACCTCCTCCTTGTTCATCATCACTGTATCAGTCAGAAGTCCCAGCAACTTCAATATTCCATAGGTCTTTCCAATACTTGGCTTCTGATATTTTTAAAATACCCTCTCCAATGATGTAGTCTTTTAGCCACTGGTCAAAATCTTTAATTTGTCATTACAAAAACAGAGAACTGCAACCTTCCCATAGTCTCTTTCAAATGTGTTATTCTCCAAATATCATCTGTTGATAGCTCATACCTCCAGTACCCCAACTGCAACAATTTTCTCCACAGCAACATTTACATCATTGATTCGACTGCTCTCTTACACTCCCTAGCCCACTCACATCCACATGTTTGTCACTCCATTCAAATTCCATGGTCAATAATGTGGGGAGCAACCCGGACTGGACTGAGTTACTGGAATTAAGACTTATTCTATGCATCTGCTCTCCCACAATGTGGCGCTGGGAGAGGAGAAAGCAGCTTCTACACAGCTGCCTCTTGCCAACTTGAGTGATGACCTCCAGGAGCTGATCCTGCTCCTGATTGGAGGAGAGCGGCGTGCTCGGCGTGTGGGCAGCCGAGTTGGGATTGGCGGAGGAGGACTATAAAGGAGGAGAGAGACGACATGCACCAGGAACATCTAAGGGGAACATCTGAAGGAACACCTGTGCAGCCCCCGAGAGAGCCGGCCGGCGGTGTGCCGCTCCCCTGCGGAAGTGGGGAAAGTGGCCAGGGGGAACCGCCCTTCCACGGAGGTGGAAGGGACAGTAGCCAACCCGGGAAGAACCAGCAGCAAACCCGGGGAGGGCCGAGCAGACGAAAGAACAGCGCAGGGTCCTGTGTTGTTCCTCCACGAAGAGGGGGAGCGACATAATGGTGCCGTGACTCGGATATGAAGCCTAGGCAGGGTTCAGTGTCGTTCCTCCATGAAGAGGGGGAGCGACAAATAATTATAATGGATCCCTTGTAAACACTTCACTCCATTTCCTTTGCTCCTGTATTGCTTTGAGGTAGTCCGTGGCTGGCTATAGTCCAGATGATATACAGTTTTCTCTGCCTGCTCCATGACTGCACACTAGTGGTGGAATGTGGCTTCCATAAAACATTTGAACTTGTGGACTAGCCGTATTTTAAATAAACATTAACCTCAAATGACCCCATAATGCTGCCTGGCAACATACTATATTACCCTATTCTGACTGTGCTTAACAGTTTTGTATTTTCTCTAGTCATTGAACTAGAGATCAATATCCCTGATGAACATAGATGCAACAATCCTGAACAAAATACTAACAAATCAAATCCATCAACACATCAAAAGATCATCCACCCTGACCTAGTGGCTTTATACCAGGATGCAGAGATCGTTCAACATACGCAAATCAATAAATATGCTATATCACATCCTAAAAATGATATGATGGAGTTGAGAAAGCATTTGATGAAATACAACCTCCTTTCCTAAAAAAAAAAAATCAAAATTGGAGACAGAAGCAACATATCACAACACAATAAAGGAAATATATGACAAATCCACAATAAGAAACCTATTGAATGGGTTAATTTTAGAGCCACATGGAGGACCACTCTCAATACTATTATTCAATATAGTTCTGGAAATTTTAGCCAGACATGTTAGACAAGGACAAGAAATAACATGGATGTAAACTGGAAAGCAGGAAGTCAAATTATCAGTGTTTGCAGATGGCACGATCCTTTTTGAAGAGAAAACAAAAGAATCCATGAAGAGACCATTAGAACTGATAAAATAATTTGGAAAATTTAGCATATACAAACAACACACCCCTTTTTACAGTAGCTACAAAAAAATAAATATAAGGGGATAAATTTTCCCAAGAATAGGAAAAATGAAAAATTATACCATGAAATTATATAAGGAAAATTATAAAAAATTAATGAAAGTAACAGAAGCAGACATCAAAAATGGAAGAAATATTTCATATTAATGACTTGATAGAATTAATGTCATCAAAATGTCTATACTACACAAAGCAATTTACTGATTCAATGAGATCCCAATCAAAATGTCAAAGACATTCTTCACAAAGCAAAAAAAAAAAAAGGATGAAAACCCATGTGACCCCAATAGCTAAAGCAATCTTAAGCAATAAATCAAAACAAGAGATACCACAATACCAGATTTCAAACATAATACTGGGATGTTATAATCAAAACATTCTGGTACTGGCCCAGAAACAGAAACATAGACTAATGGAACACAACAGAAATTAACCCATGTATCTATAACCAACTAATCCCTGGCAAATGAGCTAAAATCATTCCCTGGAGAAAGGAAAGTCTCTTCAACACATGCTGATGGGAAGATGGACTTCTCAATGTAGAAGTGTGAAACAAGACACCATCCTTGTATCCTATACAAAAATCAAATCATGAATCAAGGACCTAAACTGAAGACCTGAAACCACCAAATTTCTTTTTTTTCTTTTCTTTTTTAAAGATTTATTTATGTATGTTAAATTCAGAGTTACACAGAGAAAGAAGGAGAGGCAGGGAGAAGGAGAGGTCCGCTGGATCACTCCTCAATTGGCCACAATGGCCGGAGCTGCGAAGATAAGGAGCCAGGAGCCAGGAGCTTCTCCCAGGTCTGCCACATGGGTGCAGGGGCCCAAGGACTCGGGCCATCTTCTACTGCTTTCCCAAGCCATAGAAGAGAGCTGGAGTGGAAGTGGAGCAGCCAGGACTCAAACCAGCGCCCATATGGGATACCAGCACTGCAGGTGGCAGTTTTACCCGCTACACCACAGAACTGGCCCCAAGAAACCACCAAATCCACATGGAAAAGCACATTTCTTCTCCCCAACCCCCCACAAGAGCACCCTGCATCTGGTGAGAAGGCGCCATTCTGACACCAGTAGAGCCTGTGAAGGCTCACAAGGGCGCGACCAGGGGATTC